ATTCTCTGGATGCCTGATGGAGTCCGAAAAAACAAGCAGAGCAGAAGCTGTGTTTAGAATATAACTAGGCTATAACATCTCTAACAGCGTGGATGGCATCAAAAGAGCCGCCGCGTGTGAACGTGCCCTTCACAGATGTGCAGCGCAAGCGATCGACCTGCACAGTGAAGACAATGAACAGAATAAACATTCTGTAAATGAAACATGGGGATGGTGTTTATAGGAAATGCACAGCCAAGGTGCTGAATGTTTCCCAAAGTGTGTTGGAGCAACATGTAGCAGAAATAATCACAAAATCACTGCATTTTTATAGCAGGTAAATTTTAAATATGACTGGGGGGAGTGGATTAATTTAGGCTAACATATTCTCCATCACCCAGCCAGGTTTCAGAAAGACAAAATAAATCCATTTTATAATCTGACATCAATAATATCTATTAATTTACTGGTACACTTTTAGGCCCCAATCAGACAGAAAGCATTTAGCAGGTTTTAGCAGGCCTTTTCGGTGGACTGCGTTTTCAGCGGTCCTGACAGTCTAATCAACGATTATAAGTAATAAATATCATATTAGCATCCAACGAAGGTTAAAGTCAAGGGCAACTCTACATATTTGAAGTCCAGTTGCCCTTGACATTAAAATTCATTGGATAACTATGACCTGGATGACTGAGAATCTTCACAGATGTCATATTAGCAGAAACTTGATCACAACTCACTGGTCTGTGTCTTTTGTTGCTAAAAACATCTGCTTTAAAAGTGGAAAATAATTTCCTTGAGTCAGTGGCACTGCTTATTCTGTCATTATAGAACGCAGTTTTGGCAGCACTGATGCTTGTTGAGGATGACAGGAGCAATCGGTAGCCCTTCAGGTCGGCGGGGTCTTTGGTTTTTCGCCATTTTCTTTCAGCCGCTCTGAGATCAGTACAGAGCCCACGGATGGTATCAGTTAGCCACGGGTGGGGCTGGTTTGGGCAAGCAGGCTTGGTGGATAGAAGACACAGGCTATCCAGGCATGAGCTTAGTGTAGAGCACAGAGATTGTGTGGCATCATTGACCTCAAGTGAAGAAAATGTGTTGAGGGAGGGTAGAGCTGAAGCTACCACTGAGGCAAAGTGAGCAGGAGACAGGTTGCGGCGAACTAAAATGTAGTAGTATGGATAGGGCCTAAGACTGCGACTCTGCCTCCTGGTCTCATTTCTGGATGGTCGTGGATTTGTTCCACTAACAAACTTGGGCAGATTTCTAGAAATGAGAGCTGCTCCTTCCCAAGCGGGATGAATGCTGTCTCTCTTAATCAGACCAGGTCTTCCCCAGAAAGTCTGCCAATGATCTACAAAGCCCACATCGTTTGCTGGACACCACCTCGACAACCAGCGGCGAAATTATGACATGCGGCTATACATGTCATCACTGGTCAGATTTGGCAGGGGTCTATGTACTCACCAACTCAACATTAACCTTAGTGAACTCCAATTGGCGTAATTGGGTGTCTTTACTGCTGACATGAAGAACAACCTTATTGTATTTATGTTTCTCCTTAGCCAGCAGTTTCAAATAAGACTCAATGTCGCCTACTCTGGCCCCAGGGATGCACTTAACTATGGCTGCTGGTTTTGCTAACTTCACATATCTTAAAACGGAGCTGCCAATAATCAGAGTGGCGTACCATTACTGCTAAAGGAGGCAGAGGAGTAACTGAACATTTGACACACCGAGAAAGTGAGAGCAGGAGAGGAAGAGGGAGGGAACGAGACCATTGCTAGCTGGTTAGCTCATGTACGGTTAGCTACCAAAACTCTTGTAAAAACACTGAATCATCTGAGGGCAGTGGTTTGTCTAAGATCTTGGACAGTCTGGTGTAGTTTTTTCTTTCTTTGGCTGTCTGTGGTACCATACCATACTGTGATTGATGATGATGTTAATGGACTCAGTGATAGTGGAATAGAACAGAACAAGGAGTTGATACTTGATCCGAAGTAAAGTCTTTGTTGAGCTTATGCAATGATGTGTTTGCTGTTAGAGATTGCTAATGCGTGTTTCTAGAAATTTAAAGGAGTCAGTGATGGTGATTTCGTTGCTGTTTATTTGTATGGGTGTTTTGGGAAATGGACTACATCTAAAGTCAATAATGAGTTCCTGGGTTTGGGCTGTGTGAGCTGGAGGTCATTGTTTGAACACCAAGTGACAGCTTGGTCCACATCTATGCAATACTGGGTCTCATCATTGTTTGAGATGAGGATGAAAAGATGGAAAGAACTGTGAGTGCTTAAGCCGAACTACTGTAAGATTAAGGGCCAGATTTACTAGAGGTTTGTGTGAGCAAAAACGTATGAGGTGCCCCTAGGGACATTATTCAGAATTACAATGCATATACATGTACTTTTCCTCTGACATACACATATGAAACCAAACTCATTCACATACCCAACTGAAAAGCTCACACACATACAGGTAAAATTCTATGGTTGGTCCCAGCCAATGATCCCAGTTTGCACTTCAGGTAAGAACATTACATTAACATTAAAGCTATACACCAAAATTTTAAATAATGATTTATATGTTATTGACATTATACATAACATTTATGTGCCTTAATGATAAGTATTTACTGTAATTGTGGTTTGCAACACCACAAATGTCTAAACGTGAATCAGCTTTAAACTAAGTTCTGACTGTTAAATGTCTAACAAACTATTTGAAGCAAATCAATTAAACCTGAATTCAGATTTTTACATAACTTTAGTTATGAGTCAATAATTTGGATGTCACTTGATTATAGTGTTTCTTTTAATAAGTCAGTGGTAAGATAATGTTAAGTTAAATATGGTAACATGACCTATTTTGCTTGCATAATGGTAGCCTTAGTTATTATTTCCACTTTTTGGCCTATTAAGGCATTAAAAGGCCTTCTCTACTTCTATTCCCACTCCCTGCTAGGAACAGCAGCACTGGATCTCCTCATTGTCTACTGTGGTTTTAAACATCTGTGTTTTATGTCCATTAAAAAAATGGTTTATGGTTCCCATTGCAATAAATTCTAAATATATTTATACTTATTTTGTCTTTACTATTGACTGAAAATGTTCATTTTACATTCTGATTGTCAACTGAAAGAACCAGCTCATCATGCAACACAGATAAAACATCGAATATTAAAGCTTAACTCTTTTGCTAAGGGAGAGCAGTCTAGTATAAGTTGAAAAGTGAAAATACTATTTCGTCTTCTGACCTTGGTCAGAAAAAGTCAGAAGACGAAATAGTTATGCAGTTTTTTAACATTGTACCTTATACTTGAAGATAACATAGGAGCCTTACACTCAGCAACTAGAGCCAGAGAAGGTTTTGAAGAGTGCCTTGTTTGCTGCTCTCATATACAGCAAGTCTAGTTTAAAGACAAGAGAATGAGCACAAAACCAAACAAAACTGGGTAAAGTGCTTAAACAAAGAATGACCTGCTGACTGAGAAATTATGAACCACACTAAATGCATCATTAATTGCAATGTTGCAAACTCCTGAGGTATTCTCAGGCAAGTAGCCCACACAGAGCAATAATAAACAATCAGCTGATCGAATGCACTTGTAGCAAATATGTGCTTTCTATCAGTTAACGTTTTTCACCCTTTTGCCTCACTACACACTATACAGTAAGCCAGTAAACATGTAATATCCACAAGACCTACTCAAAGGTCACAATAAATGACACCATCTATAGAGCTTCAAAACTATTTAGTGTACAGATAATTCTTTCATTCATTTGATAACTAGCAGTGGGTTAAAGCCGACCTATCTGATTAGTTTGAAATTGAGCATATACTTTGGAAGAAATCAATCTATGCGCCGATGCTTGTGAGAAGCAATAACCATAATGCCGTTGTACGATCAACAGTTGTTCGCTTGTATTGTGAGATGTGTGCTTTTATTTAAACAACTTCCTGTTCAACTGAAATCCTCTCATACAACGTACCGAAATGCTTCTATACAACATACATTTTACTTGTATGTGAGAGAGCGTTTCAGTTGTGTATAAAAGCATTTTACTTGTATGTGTGAGAGCTTTTCAGTACAGTATGTGAATGACTTTGGTTTCATATGTGTATGTGAGAGGAAATGTACATGTATATGCATGGTAATTCTGAATAATGTCCCTAGGGGCACCTCATAAAAACATGTGCAAACTTGATATCACCAGCAAATTAACATGTCAGTTGATCTACGGTGTGCACGCAGAATGGCGTCTTTAAAAAGTGCAACATAGCACCTGTTACTACTTTTGCCTTAATGATTATGCAGTTTTTTTATATTATTCTGCAAAGTAATGGGAGGCTAACATGCAAATACATTTATTTACATCACGCAATGGGATCTACCAATCCTAAACGCAATTTCATGTGAGTGCAACAGCATCTCTATTTAATACGTTTGAAAGGAAGGTGCAAACCACCAAGTGTGTGTGCAGAGATGGCTGCTGTTATTGTTGCCAGGAGACACAACCGTGATTAAAGAAAATGTAGAGAAATTAACAATATTAGATATTATTCTATATCCAATTTATAGAAATACAATTATTTTATTTTTTTTATTCTATGAACTATGTGAATGGAATTGTATTTTCCTTTAGCTTTGGCGATACTGTTGTATTAATATTTATGCCAATTAAGCCAATTTCGTTTCAACCTGACTTCTTTTCTCCGTGAGATGGAAGAATTAAGAAAGTTGCATGGCGCTGCGGAGTCTTCAGCTGCAGTAGTGGATGGATCACGTGTAAAATTCATCCAACCAGAGGGAACAAACTTGGGACGCACTGAATAAAAACAAACCAAAGTTTTTACGCAGTGGCTGCTTTCCCTCCCGACTCTCCATGGCGGAAACCATTAAAACACGCAAAACCCTCATTTAAATACTGCCACCTCCTTTGTGTTTGCTCCTGTTGTCATCTACGTAATAATTCTTAGTTGATCACCCAGCTACAACAGCTACTAAAATTGAATGGGTAATATTTTAGAATGCACACACATTAGTACTCTTTATTCCCATAAAACCCAGATCGATGTCTAGCGGATGGTTTGCCACTCTAATGACGAATGTAACAAATTTAACTGGTATTCAGTTAGAGCAAAAAACACGCTACATACACACAAGCACGGAACGGAAAACGGAAATGAGTCAATACACTTCCAGAACTTCTGTCCCGTTAGCTGCTGCTCGCATCTGGTTCTGTCCTTCAGCTTTCTCTACAACGTCGTAATCATTAAATAAAGTTATTCAAACTGCTTTTTCATGTAAGCAAAAACTTTCAGACTTGAGCTGAAATGTCTTCACCTCAGCTGGCGCCATCATTAACTCTCCTCGACTACAATTGGTGTTGATTGCAGTCTGAACAGATTAAAAACCACATTGAGCACCAGAAAATAACAACAGATTGAAATACATAACTACTCTGTATACAGTTAACACATCTAAAATAATCTGGAGAGGAATATGTGAAGTTACTGAAAAACTTTGTCAGGATGTTTGTATAACAGGAAAAGTATTGACACAACTGTATAAACAAAAGAGGACAAATCGTAAATACAGACAAAATAAAGATTAAATATGTTCAACTATAACACAATAACAAGAAAATATGTATGAAGCTCACAGAAACAATATTTCATCAGGAGTGGAGTTTCATTCTTGACCTTGGGGAACACATCTGTAATAAATGAGTCTTAACTCAAGCCACACATATTACCTCGATGTTGGACCTTTGGACCATGGCCTGTTATACTGCATTTCCAGCCCCATATTGCAGTTCTGTGACTCAGTATCTGTCTGAGACAAGCTGTTTCTTTGAGACCCAGCCCTCCCCAAAGCCCACTGTCTTCCGATTGGCCATTGTCTAATGTGTTTACCAGGTTGCTGCAGGGATAGGTCTGCATGTTCCTTTGTGGGCGTGGCCAGCATTCTCTGCCTGGAGCAAATTACCATATTTGGAAATCTGGCTCGGTATGACATCATACGGAGCCATTAGTAGAAAAAACAGTTCAAAACAGAGCGTTCGGATCAGGGGGATATCTGAGGATTTAGCTTACAGGCATTTCCTTTTAATACTTTCACCTCATTATTTGAAGCTTTGGTCCTGTTTAATATGAACATCTGACATTGTAACATTGTAGAAATGCTAGAAAATATGAAAAAGCATTATAGGTCCCCTTTAAGAAAACTGAACTTCCTTAGTTTGTCATCACATGACTCTAGTCCGGGACAGTCACATGAGAACAGGTGGTTGTATTTGGGTAGAGAACCTCTGTCTCTGTTGACAGATGCTCTCTGGTGTCAGATGTGAATGTGCTTCTTGATCTTTCTCCAGTTGTCGATTCGTGCTTGGAAATTGCCAAGGAACAACTAACAGGAGCCAGTATGTAATTGTAGCCACAATAACAAACATTCTGCGCAGAATATAATGTTACTGTCTGTTTCTCAGTTTGTAGAAAAGATTAGACAACACAGCTATCAGGGCAGAGGAAACGGCTCGCTTGGCTGTTAAAAATGTTCAAAACGAAGTTTGTGGTGTTTAAGGTGACTACTCTGAGCAAAGGTTTTTTCACATTGTTCACACCAATAAGGTTTCTCTCCAGTGTGAACACGTCTGTGCTTTACTAGTTCACCTAATGTAGGGAACGCTTTCTCACATTGGTCACACCCGTATGGCTTCTGTCCAGTGTGAACACGCCGGTGGCTTTCTAGGTGATGTGATTGAGCAAAGGCTTTCTCACAGTGGTCACAGTGGTACGGTTTCTCTCCAGTGTGAACACGTAGGTGGATTTTTAATTGTCCTGATGTAATGAAAGCATTCCCACATTGATCACAGCTGAATGGTTTCTCTCCAGTGTGAACACGTTTGTGGACTTTTAGGTCACCTGGTTTACAGAAAGCTTTACCACATTGATCACAGCTGTACGGCTTCTCTCCAGTGTGAACACGTTGATGGAGTTTTAGTTTTCCTGATGTGGTGAAAGCATTCCCACATTGATCACAGTTGAATGGTTTCTCTCCAGTGTGAACACGTCTGTGGACTTTTAAGTCACCTGATTTACTGAAGGCTTTCCCACATTGGTCACAGCTGTATGGTTTCTCTCCAGTGTGAACTCGTCGATGTTTCTTTAGTTCACCTGATGACGTGAAAGCTTTCCCACACTGGTCACAGCTGTACGGTTTCTCTCCAGTGTGAACTCGTTGGTGTTTCTTTAGTTCACCTGATGTAGTGAAAGTTTTCCCACACTGGTCACAGTTGTACGGTTTCTCTCCAGTGTGAAGTCTCTGATGAATCTTTAAAGATCCAGATGTTGTGAAGGATTTGTCACAGTGCTGACAGCTGTGACGTTTGAGTCCCTCTCTTCCTCTCCGCTTCTATAGCAACAGACATACAAAGAGAAAGACAGTGAGTGAGATGTCATGGTGGAGCGAGCTACCCAGAACCAAACCTGTCCGTTGCTAAATTAGCCACAAAGCTAATGCCGTTTATCAGTGGAGGAGCGCTAACGTCGTAATGAGCCGTTAAACTATAGTTTCTGACAGTTAGTCTGTGTGTCTGAAATGATTAAACCAAAGCAGACATGTAAATAAACATGAGCTGAACAAGAAAATAAAACTGCTTCCTGTAGCTCCTCTTTATGTGACTTTGTAGATGTGAAACGCTGTAGTCAGAGCTGTAACAGCTCTGGTTGTTGTTATAACGTTAGTTAAATGAAATCTCAAAGTTGCAGGTCCTCGTTGTAGAGTCATGTTGTATTAGATGCATTCAACAGCAGCTCACTGTATCCTAGACAGCATGATTTATACCGATGGTGGTTAAATGGTTTCACGTAGCTTTGGTTAGAAGAGTGCTGGTAAAGGGATGAACTAGATGTGAATGTGCTACATTGAAATTATGGCAGTTAATGTGTAAAGTGAAATACACATGCTTATTCTCTCACACTCTCCGTTTACAGACGGCTGAAAAAGTTGCACCTTCCAGTAGGAAATATTTATTGATGTGCAATTGTTTACATGTTCACTTTTTGAGACTGTAATGTAGTTTATTAACACAATCCATTTAGGAAAAGGTTTTATAGCCCACATACATATATACAAGTTTTCAATAAGTGTAGTTTATACAGTAAAGGGGTCTACTATCCAAATCATTCTTAAAATCAAAATATCGGCTCATAAATCTGCTTTTTTTTGCTTTAATATCAGCATCGGCCCCCAAAAACCCATACCGGTCGGGCTCTAATTACCACCTGTGACAACCAACCACAGAGGGCCTGGGGTGGTTCAGACCTCTTTAGTAATCTGATTGGTGACTTTTTGTGGTTAAACAAAAAACGATATTAATCTTTAGCCATCATCAAGGACTATTATTCACCATGTCAACAGGTAAATAAAAAGGCAGAGCCTCCATTTTAATTCCGTGGAGTGTAGTGGTCGTCACCCTGGAGTAATAAGTCAGAGCAGAGATGTTCGTTAACAGGAAGCAGATCACTGAAGCTGTCGGCTTCAAACATGAATGTCCACACTCAACACTCAACCTCTGTTAACACAGTGATCTGCAGGTCTTGGAAAGTCTTAAAGAGCATTGCATTTTAATAGAATTTGGTTAAAAAGCTTAAATTGAATGATCGAAATTGTTAGATCTTGTCTCTTGGCAGCTGAAGGCTTTCCGGTTGGTAATAAAGTGTTTCTGTGTGTTACTGCAGGCTTTCAGGAGACATTTTATCCTTACTTTAAACATTAATAAAATTCTTTAAATTTGATAATCCATGCATCTATCCAATCTGTGTCGACTTGAATTATATCATATAGTGCTGGGAAGTAATGAAAACCTAATAAAATAACACTTGGCCCGGTGTGTTTGCAGAGAGAGACCAGAGGTTCTACTTAAGTAAAAGTATGATAACTTTTTTGAACTTTTACTTAAGTACAAGTTAAATTACCGGTATAAAAATCTACTCAAGTGAAAGTAAAAAGTAGCTCAAGTAGCTTTTTTACCTCCTCATATAACTTATTTATATTGATTTAATATCTTTTTTATACTTGTTATACTTCTAATTAAATTGCAGTCTTTTGCGATTTGTTAAGGCAACAAAGACATATGGTGCTTTCGGTTTTAGTTTGTTTGACAGATACTTTGTCAAATCAATGGCAAAAAACAATGATATTTTATGTTATAATGAGAAGTTTGAGAATGTTTTCACTTCATTAGGAAACGACTCTGCTGGGCGCACTGGACTGTATATGAAGTCATATCCCTATTTACATTCAAACAGGTGGTCATTTTAGTGGGATATCAAAAGGCGTTAGTAGAATAAATAACTAGTTACCAGCAGGTTGCTAATGCCAACCAACACTGTCATGCACCGATATCTCTTTGGAGCAAAGCATCTTACCAAACTATGAAAACTTATTTTAAACCACCAATGAAATGGAAGTAGACTATTATTTAACTGACCTCTACATCAGGGGTCCTCAACTACAGCAGACACTGTAGGGGGCCGGACTTTCAAAAATAACTCCTGTATCACTGTTTAATATTTTCAACTTTCACAAAATGAACGTTTTTATTAGCTTATATCAGTGTAAACAGACTCCTAAAAAACATGGTAGGCCTAAATCCATAATCATAAATCTACATAAGCCTACTTAACCAGAAAATGCTCTCAGGCCGCAGCCAAGGAATCTTTAATTGTAAATTTAACTCTGATTGGTATTAGACACCTGTAGTTACTATGGTAACAGCAGATACCTTTTAATGCCACAGGGCACAGAAGTCTGGGGCAGCTAAACAAACTCTTGTCGGGGTGTTACTGGTATTTTCCATAATTATGTGAGCAGTCATGATCTGACTTTACGCTGCACATGAGTCTGCAGACAGTGAAAGGAGTTCAACTAGTGTTTCGCCGGTTAAATGCCTTTAATGTGAAGCTGCGGCAGCAGGAAACATTCGGTTTGCATTAGTAGTAAATTAATACAGCATTTCTCCACAGTTTCCACTGCATCATGATCAAGCGGTTGTTCTCTTGCACTTGAAGCCAAAGTTATCGTGAGTTTTTACTTGCACAGGCTGTGGAGGAGGGGGGAGCGCCGGTGTTCTCGGAGAATTACTAAGCTTGTCTATTAAACACGAGAGGCGTCACTTGCTTTTATTTTCGTTGGCCAACTTTTGAATTGAACCTCAAACTGAGTATTTTTTGTTTTCTTATTGGGATATAGAAAGATGGACTCTTAGAGTGGGTTTTGCATTGAGCGCTTACACACTGTGGAGAACTTTGTTTTTCTTGTCACCATTTATTGCTTGTCCGTTTTGAATAATACAGAAGGTAATGAGCTTAAGAATTAATCGTATATCAAATCGCAATTGCAATACTGGTAAAAAAAAAAAATTTAAACAAAAATTTTAAAAAATCGCAATTAGATTTTCCAAAATTGTTCTGCCCTAACTCAGACCCTCCTTATGGACTGTAACTCGAATCGAGCTGGACTATATGGACTACAGCTCGTGGACTATCAAACTTTAAAATATGTAAAAATGACCACACATGCAATCCAACATAAGTAAAATGTAATGTAAATATTCTTAACACTTCCACTTTAGTGCAATAACACTTTTACATTATTCACTGTATACACAGTTAGAAAAGGAGCTGGCATGCAGGGCAGGGGGAAACTTTCTCCAGGAGAGGGTTCAGAAACACTTACGTCCTGTGGGTGACATAAACATGACAGTGGAGCCGACCTGAGAGAGGAGCCTGCACTGGAAGCGACTCCACAGTGGAGGTCTGAAGCCAGACACTCTTGTTTAAATTAGCCTAGCAGCTAGCGGACTTTTAATCTCCTCATATAGTTTAACAAATTACGTGGATTATTTGTCATATTAATGTTATGTAAATTATGTTAAGTCATTGCAACCACAGTTGAATTTTCAGCCTGTACGTTTTGTTGAAACAGCAGCTGATAGTAGCGAGAGCAACAAGCTGGAGTACTGTCATGGTGGATTTGTGGAGCGGTTTTCAATATTCCCTTTAAGCCCACAGCTGCAACAAATCTTTAACAAAGACCATAGACTTGTTCTCCTAAACCTATGTAAGGCTAACTAGATGCCCTGTGGCCTCCTCCTTTACATTGCATAGGTCAATCACCCTAATGCTTTCTTTAGGTTATATCAACATTTGTGTAACACACTCAAACATGTAGTTAAACCCTAAAGCAAGTGATGAATAAAGTGACACATATTTCTCTTGTGGGATTGTTTGAGGACACAACACACACACGTTTTCTGGCCTTTCCCCAGAAAACATCTGTGTTCTTTTGGCAATCTCAGCAACTGTGGTTTGTTTTTGGGCGTACGCATACAGAATATTCCCGACTGAATTCACTTCTCTGCTAATAAAAATAAGAGCTATATGTCCTAAAAGTCCAAAATTGACTTGGAAACCCTGTCCTTCAATAAACCCGTTTATTTTGCAGCTATGTAGTTGTAGTTTCTTCGATATCAAGCGTACTGGATGTTTATTTGTGTCGGGAAAGTTATGTGGTGGATAAAAGTTTAAAAAGTGTCTTTAGTTCACTGTCTTTGTCAGTTGCTGCATGTATTTTTTTTATCTATATGAATTCATATATAAGATTGCTCACAGGTGTCACTGTGGTTCTACAGCACCTGAGATGTTTTGTGACCACATAGCATCAGTTTGAGACTCTTTGCATCCTGTTGATCAAGCCAACAGTCCTGTGACTGTCTGTAAATCGTTTCAGTTATTTTCTTCATGTCAGTGATTATCTCACTAAAGTTATGAAATAAATCCATGACATACCAATTTAAAGTTTTATATCAACTAAAAATACTGATTCTCCAGTTCAGGGTGAGAGTTGACATACAGCGATTAAGTTATTCTGCCACAGCATCCATTTTAATTTCAGGTCCACTATTTTAATTTTCTGTTATGATATTCATAACAGATCCTAACACAGCAGTGAGGTGAAAGTTAAATATTATTATTGATATTTATTTGGAATAACTGTTATATTAGAAATTAAAAACATCTTTAGAATAAAGATAATATAAATAATAATGAAATGAATCAGTTAAAACACATAGTTAGATGCAGTCCTAGTACCATGTGAGCTGGGGCGGTGCAGACGCCTGCCAAATAAAATAAATAAATAAATGGTGGTCGGTACACAGACGGGAAATTCCTTTCTGGTAAGTTAACTGAGTGAAACCAGATGTGCTTAATTTCACTTCTCCATGCACACAAATGAGAGATCCAGCAACCACACAGTTAGGGCGAACTCACACTAGAGCCGGTTGGCTTGTACTGATTGTCCCCCCCTCCCCACTCATTGGCCTGCGCTCACACTGCGCCCAACGACCCGAGCCGGAGCACGTTTACGTCATCACTGGATCAGTGTTTCCCATGTTTGTGGCGGCCCGCCACAGTATTACCACATAATAATGTGATTTTTTTTTGCTCGGCCTATTTAAAAATCATAGTTAATTGCTGTAGTGTTGCGCATATATTCGCGCAGCTCTCTCTCTCTCTCTCTCTACGAGCGGCCCTGATCGCTGCAGTCAGACCTAAATTAACTCACCCGGCGCCCCGTCATGTGACCCTGTAGCATCCAAACCGGGTGCTGCTGCCATTGCGCGAGGGCTCCGGTGACATTTTCATGTTGGGAATATAATAAACGACGGATGGTACAACCACAGCCGTGAAAAAAGGGCTGTTTAACACTCCTTCTGTTGTCATCTGAGTGTGTTCTTTGCCATGAGGTGCCATGTTGAACCCAGCGACCCGTATGAGGGAGTGTGAGAGCGATGACACCAGATTTAACACACCTGCTCCCCATTCACACCTGAGACCCTGTAACACTAACAAGTCACATGACACCGCAGAGGAAAATGGACATTTTCACTTAGGGGTGTACTCACTTGTTGCCAGCGGTTTAGACATTAAAGGCTGTGTGTTATACAAGCTGCACACTCACTACTTTACATTGTGGTAAAGTGTCATTTCTTCAGTGTCACATGAAAAGATATAATCAAATATTTACAAAATTTTTGTGAGATACTGTAACAGTATGATAATGTGGTGACATTTACCTGGTGTAGTCACCAAACCGACAAAACTAAAAAACAAAAAGGAGGCTAAAGCAGAACATACAAAAATATAATGAGGAGGTTTAAGTTAAATGATTAATGAGTAAGTTTACCAGACAATTTACTCTTACGGCGCCTGCGTCACACACGCAGCCTCCAGTCAGCTCAGGAAATATCTGTGAAACGGCGTTTCAAACCAAACGCACAAGTCGAAAGAGGCCCAGTCTGTCCGAGTTACAGCCGGTGTGCTGCTCAGCAGCATCGGAGGCTGCGGGGGAACTCCAGTGTTGTTGGAGAATTACTGAGCTTGTCTATTAAACACGAGAGGCGTCACTTGGTTTTATTTTCATTGGCCAACTTTTGAACACAGAATAGATAGAGAAAGATGGACTCCTAGGAGATTTGACCTGAGATAAGGACTCATTAATTGCTGGTTGAACAGTGGGTTTCAAATTGAGCGCTTACTGTGGTGAACTGTGTTTTTTCTTGTGGTCTGTTGGCCGACCTGATGATATTATATCATATTATTTAACGCCATGACTTGACTCTTGAATTACGTTTCTCATATTATTATAATTTGATATAATAATATCAAGAAAGAACAGTGTATGTTTAATCTGTCTAATATTGTGTTGGTCATATTACACACCGATTTACTGCTTGTCTGTTTTGAATAATACAGAAAGTAAAGAGCTTAAAAAATTACCGCATATTAAATCGCAATATTAAAACACTGCCAGGAAATAACCCCTAAATCCAGGAACACATGCCTGTCCACGATGTCCAAGTTGAAAGTGCAGAGTTTCAGCTTTGTATGACAGAAATATCTTGTATCTATCTAACACAGATTATTAAACATATTCGTCTTTATTTTTTTTCCCCCTTTTGGAATGTAATTGGTTGCCTTGTATATTTTGCACGACTGACCAAACGTCTTTCTTGGCTTAAATTGAGCAGCATATTCATTAATCTTGTTTATGTATCTTACCATAAAATAACAGCAGAATGTGAGTAATTATGACCATAGAGGCATGATAGATAGATAGATAACATATTAATGCATAAAAACTTTAAATGTTTTTGCGTTATGGGAGCAGTAAACATTCCCTCCAAAATTAAACACAATAACGGATTAACGCCGTCTCCACCACTCCTCAGAAAAAATGCTATTATATGTAGGGAAGAGCCGGGACAAATTAAATGCAGGACGATTTAAACACAAATATTCTCTGAGCTCGTACAAGTCTGATGTGCCAAACTATGTAAGCATGGGGGTGTGGGGATGTAGCACAGGTAAGCAGTGACCAAGGTTATTATTGTTAACAAAAACAAACAAAACAAAAACTAAACTAGAACTAAGCATTTTCAAAAAATAAAAACTAAACTGTTAAAAAAATATTTAAAACTAAACTGAAAACAAAAAGTCAAAACGACATAAAAATACTAACTAATGGAAAACTGTAATAACCTTGGCAGCGTCAGGAAGAGTAAATTATTGCAGATGTTGCTTGCGGACTAGTTCTGCTCTCTGTGCTGGACCACAGACGACTCCCAGCCTGCTGACTCTCGCCCACACAGCCAGGTGGCTGCTGGACTGCATTTTAGGACGATACAGTGGAATCGAAGAGATATAGTTTTGGAGGGCAGGAGACCAGTCACTCCAAATTAGTACATTATACCACCTGGTCAATATAACACACACACACACACACACACACACACACACACACACACATTTGTAGTATTTGATTACAACAAAAATAGTAGGGTGATCTATTAAAACTATGTTTATCTGATGAAGGGTTTCAATCGTCCTGGCTCTGTCCTATGTTATGTCTGTGTTAACATACACTATATTGCCTTACTGTAGTGGGTCGCCTGCCTTTACAAGCGCATGAAGGTTAAAGACGTCACATTCTTAATCTGTAGGGTTTAATATGGGGTTGACAGCTTCAACTCTTCTGGGAAGGCTGTCCACAAGGTTTAGGAGTGCGTTCAATTTGTGACCATAACTGTAGAAGCGCATTTGTGAGGTCAGGCACAGATGTTGGCCTGGCTCGCAGTCTCCGCTCTAATTCATCCCAAAGGTGGTCAGAACTCTGTGCAGGCCAGTCGAATTCCTCCACACCAAACTCGCTCATCCATGTCTTTAAGGACCTTTCTTTGTGCACTGGTGCGCAGTCATGCTGGAACACAAACGGTTAACACATAGTTGGGAGCATGAAATAGTACAAAATGTCTTGGTATGCTGAAGCATTACCATTTCTTTTCACTGGAACAAAGGAGCCTACCCTGAAAAACAACACGACATTTGGAGGTCTGTAGCTTTTGAGAGAAAGATGGTGCTTTCTGCGCACTGTGTGCATCAGCATGAGCTGAACCCGCTCTCTGATTTTATGCGGCCTTACACCTTCATGGCTGAGTTTCTATTGTACCCAATCGCTTTGTTATAATACCACAAACAGTTGACTGTGGAATATTTAGTAGCAGAAAATTTCACGAATTGACTTCACTATCACGCAGCATCCACTGAGGCCGACCCGTTCGTTCACAAATGCTCGTAGAAGCAGTCTGCATGCTTAGCTGCTCGATTTTAACTTTAGTCATTTAAGTGATTGGAACACCGGCATTCAAAGATTCAGAGGTGTCCCAATACTTCTGGCCATATAGTTTAGTTACCGGTGGTGCAAATACAGTCGCTGCTGCTGTCTGTCCCACTTGAAAATAAACGATAAAATATTTATACAACATAGACGAAGCACATCAAATCTAATATGAAGAGGCGTGTCTCATTTGTCCAGTGCAGTCCTACAATTACTGCTGCATAGGTTTGTGAAGATGAAAACTGCAATTCATTTCTATTCCAATAATTATGTAAAATAAAATAACCACACATTAGCAAGACAAATGTGTGTTTCACTAGATGAGAACAATTCAGTAAGAAAGTACTGACACTGTTTTGTTTATTTTTATTTCTGGGCCCTAAAAACCTCCGCGGTTCAGAGCGAGTGCTCAGAGTGAGCTCACCGTCCTGCTGCTGCAAAGACTGGGTCAAAGTGAGTGAGAAGACCCGCTGGAGCCTGAGTGAAAGTCTGTCCAACAGAAAACAACTTAAACTTCATCCAGGCAGCAGCATGCTAACACCCAGGCAGCAGGCTACATGCTACAAGAGACCTCCTCCTCCTCCTCCTCTCCTCCTCCTCCTCCTCCTCCTCTCCGGGTCCGACCGTCACATTAAGTGTGGGTTCTGTAGAGATACGGGGTTCTGATGGCTCCACTGTTGAATCCTGCTACATTACATCTTGTTTACAGTCAATATGAAGCTACGTGTCGGAACCAGGCCGAGCTAACGCCACGTTAGCTTCTTGTTAGCTGCTAGCTGTGTTCATGAACACTGACCTGAACATCGGTGCTATCAGAGCTCGAGCCTGCTGTTTGTCCTCCGGGGACGTTGTTGCTCCGGGGCTCCGGGTCCTGGTTGTCCTCCTCCATCCCGCTCTTGGTCCTGGTCTCTGAGATCCTGCAGGTCTCCTGTGCTCCTCTTCAGGCTGAGTGAGACAGAAAAGGGTCCAGCTGCAGCACGAACAGCAGGAACTTCCAAATATGGTTCATGATGCGCTGCTTCGCTCACAGCAGAGACCAAAACGTCCATCAGACCTGCGTACAGGATGGATGGAATAAATAAATGGGTCCGGACCATATTATATGAAGGTCAGATTGTACACTGTCGTGACTCAAACGCACTAGGTTAAACCATAGACTGTGTACAAAAGAGTTTTCCTACCTTTAATAACATTTTTATATTTATTTTTGATCCACTAGGATCTGCAGATGCTTTCCTTCCTTCACACTAACAATTGATGATAATGGGCGCTTTGGAGGCTCTGCAAGGCAGCTGGATGGTCTGTTTCTGTAGGCTACTACCATCACTTTTTGAAAGTATTTATTAAAATGGTTCTGATAAATTGCTTGAAAGAAAAGAAATGTTACCTAACAAATGAGAATGCTGTGAGAAAGGTTTCTTTGCATAATAAGAAACATGCAATGCAAATATCTAAGAAACGAATGTGCACTATCCAAGAAAGTAACTTCAGCTAAAAAATAAACAAGTTGCAAATTACTACATTATATTGTTATATTTTGTATTGTCACCTTACACCTGAATTTTGAGTTTCCCTTTATATACAGTGCCTTGCAAAAGTATTCGGCCCCCTTGAACTTTGACCTTTTGCCACATTTCAGGCTTCAAACATAAAGATATAAAACTGTAATTTTTTGTGAAGAACCAACAACAAGTGGGACACAATCATGAAGTGGAACGAAATTTATTGGATATTTTAAACTTTTTTAACAAATAAAAAACTGAAAAGTTGGGGCGTGCAAAATTATTCAGCCCCCTTAAGTTAATACTTTGTAGCGCCACCTTTTGCTGCGATTACAGCTGTAAGTCATTTGGGGTACGTCTCTCAGTTTTGCACATGGAGAGACTGAAATTTTTGCCCATTCCTCCTTGCAAAACAGCTCGAGCTCAGTGAGGTTGGATGGAGAGCGTTTGTGAACAGCAGTTTTCAGTTCTTTCCACAGATTCTCGATTGGATTCAGATCTGGACTTTGACTTGGCCATTCTAACACCTGGATATGTTTATTTGTGAATCATTCCAGCGTAGATTTTGCTTTATGTTTTGGATCATTGTCTCCGTCCCAGTCTCAGGTCTTTTGCAGACTCCATCAGGTTTTCTTCCAGAATGGTCCTGTATTTGGCTCCATCCATCTTCCCATCAATTTTAACCATCTTCCCTGTCCCTGCTGAAGAAAAGCAGGCCCAAACCATGATGTTGCCACCACCATGTTTGACAGTGGGGATGGTGTGTTCAGGGTGATGAGCTGTGTTGCTTTTACGCCAAACATAACGTTTTGCATTGTTGCCGAAAAGTTCGATTTTGGTTTCATCTGACCAGAGCACCTTCTTCCACATGTTTGGTGTGTCTCCCAGGTGGCTTGTGGCAAACTTTAAACGAGACTTTTTATGGATATCTTTAAGAAATGGCTTTCTTCTTGCCACTCTTCCATAAAAGCCAGATTTGTGCAGTATACGACTGATTGTTGAGTCTCCCACCTCAGCTGTAGATCTCTGCAGTTCATCCAGAGTGATCATGGGCCTCTTGGCTGCATCTCTGATCAGTCTTCTCCTTGTATGAGCTGAAAGTTTAGAGGGACGGCCGGGTCTGCGTAGATTTGCAGTGGTCTGATACTCCTTCCATTTCAATATTATCGCTTGCACAGTGCTCCTTGGGATGTTTAAAGCTTGGGAAATCTTTTTGTATCCAAATCCAGCTTTAAACTTCTCCACAACAGTATCTCAGACCTGCCTGGTATGTTCCTTGTTCTTCATGATGCTCTCTGCGCTTTAAACGGACCTCTGAGACTATCGCAGAGCAGGTGCATTTATACGGAGACTTGATTTCACACAGGTGGATTCTATTTATCATCATTAGTCATTTAGGTCAACATTGGATCATTCAGAGATCCTCACTGAACTTCTGGAGAGAGTTTGCTGCACTGAAAGTAAAGGGGCTGAATAATTTTGCACGCCCAATTTTTCAGTTTTTTATTTGTTAAAAAAGTTTGAAATATCCAATAAATTTCGTTCCACTTCATGATTGTGTCCCACTTGTTGTTGGTTCTTCACAAAAAATTACAGTTTTATATCTTTATGTTTGAAGCCTGAAATGTGGCAAAAGGTCGAAAAGTTCAAGGGGGCCGAATACTTTCGCAAGGCACTGTACATATATATATATATATACACACACATATACATATATACACACATATATGTGTGTATATATGTATATGTGTGTGTGTGTGTGTGTGTGTATATATATGTATATGTATATGTGTATATATGTGTGTATATATATATATATATATATGTGTATATATATATATATATATATATATATATATATATATATATATATATATATATATATAAAGACATTTCAACCATAAATTGTTCCAGAAAATGTCTCCAGAATGCAGGAAATTAAGTGTTTAATGCTCAAAATCTCGTGGGGGAAGACCCCCAACCCCCCAAATCGTATATCACAGTCGTGAATATTAATTTTAATATCTTCTTGTTTGTTCACGTTTCGGGAGAAATTGTATCACTGCAGCCATAATCTGAGCCCTTAAGTGTCCCCACCACTTTTCAGCACAAAGTGACGCCCTTGCCATGGACACACACACACAGTAAATGGTAATATCTGGTGGTGTCCAATCTTCCATATCATACAAGGATCTCATCGCTGCCCTGACAGATTACTGTTTGTTGAAAAATGTTCCCGGGCGAACAAGAATGGAAAGTCTGCAGGCTGCTTGTCCAATCGTCTCACCCAGAGGGGAGCACTTTGCAGTCGCTCAGTATCAGCCAAGTACGCAAGCGAGACAGGAAACATCTGTTTCTAATGGAAGGATTTGAGAGGACGTGAAAGGCTGTGAGCCAAGTGTGAGTTACTGAACTCCCACTGATCCTCTCCGAATGGTGAGGTGGAGAAAAACAAGACCCCTCAGGCCTCAAGTTTTGGAAGGCCATGCTGGGTCATGTGGTGGAGCAGCAGGGTCTGTGGGCAACACATCCTCACTTCCGACGACTATGACTCTTGACCATGCGTCAACATTTGATGAGTCCGGGAGTGAGAAGGGGTTTTTGTGGGACCTGCTAAAGACGTCTGGACTGGGTCTGTGCTAGATCTGGCTGAAGATCATCTCTACTGACAAACTTCAGAATTGCCCCTGTAAATTGTAAATAACAATACTTGCAAGATATAAATGTTATCAGCTGCATCAGGCCCATTGAAAGTGGCTACCCAGGTTCCTTTAATACATATATTTACACGTTGATTTGACGAAATATGTGGCGCTTATTATGAGATGTGCATCCATATCGCCCAGTCTACCCAACTAATAAACATTTTAATAGTCAAGTTAGGAAGTTCATAATGCCAATGAGATGTTTTCACTGCCGGGAATTTGGGATGAGGGAAGCAAAATCTTGGATATGAGCAGCGTGTTTCAGTTAGTTTGGGAGAGTTAAAAAGGCGCTGGCCCTGGCTGGGATAAAAGCACCAGGGAAGGATGACATATGCTGATGATAAAACACTTGAGTGCACGAGAACTGAACCAATTATTAATACTGTACTGGAGGTTTCTTTTGACCCCAAACAGACTCAGAGGACAAAGAGTGGGCTTTTGTTTTCCACAAGTGATGCAGTTCATTAGAAAACATGATATTTAATAAGGAATGTGAGAGCGAGAAGACGATAAAGAGGTTTTCCACCTTTGTAAATCAGCTTCCACCGCTTGTTTTGGTGCTGCTGCACAGACGACATCAGAATCTGAAGTAGAAGTTAAAGGTTTGTGACTGCAGGATCAAAACAGGACGTTTCACTTTCATCATGCTCCTTTGAAAACACAACTTCTCTCTCTTTGATTTCTCATCAGCTCGGGTGACAGCGGTGATGACATCATCATCCAATCCCTCTCAGCCTGGGTCGGCAGGGTCATCACCAAATGTAAAAAGGTAACTGGTATGTGTTTGAACCAAAAACATCAGAACAACAAATATTGTTGAATAGAAACAGTTTATTGAACGTCCAGTTTCAAATGATGAGTCAAAGCTTCTCTTTGTGTCGACTAATTTAATAAGAACATTGAAAACGACTCAAGTCCAAATCTCAAGTCTCCTGCTCAGATTATTACAGCACCAACCCTGGCAGGATGCAAGTTAAACAGAAAGCAACACATTTACTGACAGAACAGAAAGCAAACTGCTGTTAAAATGGAGTCAGATAATGAAGACACGATAATATTTGATTCAATCAGACTTTCACAAGAACAAAAGTTTGTTCAGACTGAAAACAAATGTGGTCTGTAGTGGTTTTGTAGTCCCTGTTTATTCAGCGCCTCTTCCTCCTCACTACACACTGGATCAAACCACAGCAGTTAAACCCAGAGGCATCCAGTGGACCTGGTTCAGGCCTCAGAAACATTTGGACTTTTGCCCTGTCTTCAAGTGTTGACACTTGGAGCAAGTATAAACAGACGTCATGATCTAGTTTGTTTGAAGCGTCCTTCAGACGTTGATCTCAGAACTCAGCAGAAACGTCTTTAGTCTCTTTCTTCCAGTTTCTGTTTTTTCTTTTCTCTCTGTTCATTTGTCAAAACAAAGCTGAATTTTTTTGAGCTGAAACATTCAGACTTGAGCAGACACGTCTTCACCTCAGCTGACGCCATCTTAACAAATCTTCGGCTCTTTGCTTCAACTAGAATTGGCTTTGCTTTCAGTCTGAACAAACCTCAACAGATTCAAAACCACATTCAGAAAATAACAACAGATCAAAATACACAACTACTCTATATACAGTTAACACATTTAAAATCTGGAGAAGAAAATGTAAAGTAACCAAAGGAACAAGAAATGACCTGTTTAAGAGAAACATCATGGGACCCAGATTTTACTCCAAAAAGTATTGATGTTGTTTTCAGGACAGGGGAAGGTGAGGACCCCACAAGGAGGAGTGGACTCTTCAGAAGATCCAGCTAATAGATTTGGTCTCTCACTTTTATTGATATTTGCAAGTGAGAAGCTATTGAGAGTAGTCCACATGAGAACTCCTGGAGACCTCACCCCTTATGAGATGAAGACTCACCAGAGCCACAACCCCAAAAACACAACTGGACACATCTATCAATATTTCAGGAAATAAAACTAAACATGTGTACAATACTATACTTAACAAAAACAGGGACATTTATCAATGATATGTATTGACAAAATAAAGTATTAACAATAGAAAATAAACAGTAAATACATAACATGAAGATTAATTACAATCCTACAATGGAGGAAAACATGTTTAACTACAACACAATAACAAGAAAATACAGTATCTTACAAAAGTTTGTACACCTCACAGTTTTGTAAATATTTTATTGTATATTTTCATGTGACAACACTGAAGAAGCTGGGGAGACACTGCTACTGGGAAGGAACCAGTCTGACTGAATATGTACCTGGTGCACTGGCCGGGGAACATATCCCATTTCGATGCCACGCGGAGATTGCTTCTTACGTTTTAGCATGTAACAGTTAGCAACAGTTAGCATGTAACAGTTAGCAATTACATGTCCGCTCTGATGACAATAGTGACACTTACGGTCATCTTTCGTCACTTGTGATGCTTTAGGTGAGCTAGAAGGCAGTGAGGATGGAGTGCGGTAAATACTGTGTGGTTTACTACCAGCGACTGTAGAGAAAGGAGTCTCATGTATAAGAACATACTCGTCGGCTAAAGTAGCGGCTACTGCCAATGTCCGCACCTTCTGCTCATTCAAGTACGTCACAACACTGTCAGGGAGACACTTCTTAAAGTCCTCCAAAAGCATCAACTCTGAGGGAATTAACATCAGTCACGTGACAGGCAGCAGTCCATTTATCAAAGAGTACGCCCTTCTCTCTAGCGAACTCAACATACGTCTGGCCCTGCTCGCTCTTATGTTCCCCAAATCTCTGCCGATATGCTTCAGGAACCAACTTGAAAATGCCCACAACTCGTAATCTACGCTGTCCTCCAGAGGTAGTGCTGCGATGGCTTCCTGAGCTTTAGCTTGGAGCTTGCACTGGAGCAGGAGTCCCCAAACTCCAGGCGGCCACTGTAACGTGGCAGCAATGCGCTCAAACACACTGAAATAAGAATCCACTTTACGGAAGGTTGGAACCAAAACTACATGCAGGATTGTGGCATACCTGAGGCAGACAGTGGAACCTGCTCCACCTCGGAGTATTCGAGCTCAATCTTTCACAGTCTCGCAGCCCTGTCAACCTCCATTTCCAGCTCCAGTCCCCCAACATCCAAAGTGCTGCTGCTGTTCCTCTCCCGTGCTTCAAGCTGGAGACGGGCGAGTCAGACTTTCATCTGGGCCTCATCCCTGGAACGAGCACTGCTGCTGGGCAGGGATGGATTGTAGCGTGGCAGTGTGATCCAAGTTTTCATCCGCTGGGCCTGCTCAGGAAGCACAATCTCTCCCTGCTCTACAGAGTTATCAATAATCCGGATACAAAGATACTTTTTCAACAAAGATTTGGCAACCGTGATTCCAATATGGCAGGTAATACAAATTAAGTAGTCTTTATGAGGAGCGTTAATCTTGTCGAGTGTGTCCACTCAAACTTTAATTAACAAATAACCTTCCACCAGATCCAATTAAGATCTGAAGATGTGGGGGCAGGCTGCTGAAAACGCTTCTGAAGATTAAGATCCCCCAATTATGTTACGCCCCAGCTCGCTAGGGATAGAGGAGACGTAAGCATAAACCAGATGTACTTGGCAAGGTAGAAAGGTTATTTAAAACAGAGGAAAACAAAAGGCATAACAGAAACTGGGCAAGTGGGTGTTGCGTAAACCAAAGAACAAACATAACAAAAAGAGATCCCTTTTAAACTCAAGGGATTACTAACTACAAACAAAAGTAAACCAAAAACCTCTCTAGCCATTGTTTAACAAAACACAGGGAGCGCAGCACCCTTAAAACTAGTGAACCTAATACAACAAATAGCTAACAAAGTGTAAGTTGTATCGGTGGTAAGCTGAACCCGTGCCCAAATCTGGTTCAAACAGGAGCGTTACCGACTCTCACTACACACTATATACTTTAACTGGCACACAGGAATTTAGCTTACAGCTAATGAGAAGGTGCCTTGAGGCCAGACTCACAAAACACAGTATGGAGTTACAGGCACAAAGACATACATGCTGCTCAGCGTTAAAGTTACTGTTTTCTATCCTGTTTGGAGAGAAGTCAGAATATAACAAGGCAGCTATCAGGGCACGAGGACGAGGCAGGAGGAAACGGCTCACTTCGCTCTGAACATTTCAAAGCGAAACGCCGTGAATGCGTTGGTGGACTTTAAGGTTACTACTTCGTGCAAACATTTTCCCACATTGTTCACACCAGTACGGTTTCTCTCCGGTGTGAATACGTCTGTGAATTTCTAGGGAACTTGATGTAGAGAAAGCTTTCGCACATTGGTCACACCAGTACGGTTTCTCTCCAGTGTGAACACGTTGGTGGGTTTCAAGGGAACCGGATTGAGAAAAACATCTCCCACACTGGTCACAGCTGTACGGTTTCTCTCCACTGTGAACACGTTGGTGCCTTTGTAGGTCACTTGATGTATAGAAAGCTTTCCTGCACTGGTCACAGCTGTATGGTTTCTCTCCAGTGTGAACACGTTTGTGGATTTTTTGTTTAACCAAATTAGAGAAAGCTTTCCCACACTGGTCACAAATGTACGGCTTCTCTCCAGTGTGAACACGTTTGTGGATTTTAAGGTGAAACGACTGAGTGAAAGCTCTCCCACATAGGTCACAGCTGTACGGTTTCTCTCCAGTGTGAACTCTCTCATGAATTTTTAAAGATCCAGATGTTTTGAAGGATTTGTCACAGTACTGACATTGGTGATGTTTGAGTCCCTCTTTTCTGCTGCGTTTCTGTATCAGACAGACAGACAAAAACAGAGAAAGACTTTGAATGAGATGTCATGGTTAGTTTCACTAATGCATTACCACTTGTGACAACCAGCTGCAGAGGTGTGTCCACAAAGGGGCCTTTTACTGCATTTATTGTGAGCAACGTGTTTCACCCATTGCTTCTTCAGACTCATACAGTGAAATTACAAAAACACTGTGTGCCAGGTTGAATAGGTCAGATTACCAGTATCTTCAATTTTCTCTATGACATTTTTCTTGTTTATATACACATTTATAAAAATCAACATCCTATAAAAACTCTTATACTACAAACACCAAAAATGTGATTAGTATCCAAGCAGATCAAAAACATAAAATATATATATATATATATATATATATATATATATATATATATATATATTACATACATACACACACACACACACGCATTACATCATTACAGGACAAAGAAACAATGACCTACAAGTCACTATAAAGCTCAGTAAGCCTTGGAAACGTGGACATGGTCACTTCCCTCCTGGTTTCAATGGTAAACCACAAGAATGAAGATTACCAACAAAACACACTATATTTTAAGCACCTTAAACAAATCGTAAAGTAACATGGGGGTGGTGCAGGCGCAATGGATAAGACTATGCCTTTGGTGTGAGAGACCCAGGTTCAATCCCCCACTGTGACCCATCCACCATTGTGTCCCTGAGCAAGACACTTAACCCCTAGTTGCTCCAGAGGCGAGCGACCTCTGACATGTATATCTATTGTAAGTCGCTTTGGATAAAAGCGTCAGCTAAATGAATAAATGGAAATGTAACATTTGTATTTGAAACACATGGCAAACTTATTAGCAAATTTTAACAAAATTCCCATCACTATAATGCATCATGGGAATTCTGAGGGACGGACGTAGGCTATTATGCATCAACCCCAGACTCACGCAGGCGGCGTGTGCACTGCGGTTTAGTTCCGTCCTCAGCCCGGCGTAAACTTCCAATGGAAGGCCTCAGAAGCGTTTCAGCAGCCTGCCCCACATAACGTGTTTTTAAGATGTCCTTTTGTGCTTATACCACATCCTTCAAAGCTCTCGGTGTCCCGCTTTAGTTCAGTCGTCGGAACGGCTGCATATCCCACGGGTGCATTTCACAATAAGAGCGTTTTCCCTGCCTGTTTTTACCGACATGTTAAGATTTTGTTGATTTGGTGATTAGTGCTTGATTGTGCTTCTAATATGATTAAGTAGGCTACACAGTAAAGTCTCCTCCAGGTGCAGGAGATGGCTGATATGGCCAAAAATGTATCACCATAAAAACTTTCATATCTTTCTATATCGATAATTATCACGATAAGGATCAAATCGTTATTTCTTTCGAGTTTAAAGGCTGATTTTTGCTCCTGAGTGAAAGTTGGAGAAACCTGATGGTTAATTGTGATATAAACTCTTTATAGTCAACAGTGGATCAAAAATCAATTATTATGATAAGCGAGTAAGAGTAAAATTAAGTAGAAGCTTTTTTCAGTCCTTTTTCCTCAACACAATAAACATCTTAATAAAAAAAAAAAAAGGTCCAGATCTGTGTATGATTTAAGCGAATAAAATCAGGCAGTTTTTCCAATATTAGTGTTGTATAAATTAATCACTCTTTATCATTTTATTAATTATCCTTAATCATTTTACCTAGATGTGCCTTGTCTTTACTTAGAAGTGCTGTAGTCATAAATACAGTAACAAGCTCACTGTGGTTAAGATCCTTGAGTAGGAGTATTTACTGCAGACGCTGTGACTATGCACGCCTTGTTCAACGTTATCTACTGTAGATTATGACTGCAGGAGAGGCTGCAGGTGTTCAAATCTGCTGACGCTGTGACAGTGCACACTCTGTTCTACTGTTATCTACTGTTATTATGACTACATGAGCGACTGCTGATGTGTTAGTCTGCTGATATTAAGACTACAAGTTTAATTACTGATTAAGGGTTTGATTGTCAACTTCCAACCTCTGATTATTATAGCCTGTGTGAACTTTGAGTGAACTTTCTTTGCAAATTCGCGACAGATAGATGAGCAGAAACGCGACAGACACAGCCAGCACAACATCAAGATTACTGTAAGAAACCAAGCATTAGTGAAAGATACAGCATTACACGTTATTCTTGAATAAATTTTTAAGAAATACAATTGTGTGTCAAATTATGCACGTATAACCTTTAAAAAAGTGAGACTGAAGTTGAAATATAATGGAGAACTTCTTGTTCAGTAATGTAAAAATATAGAAACACCACCACAGTAATTAATAAACAGCTGGAGAACAGTGTTAAATTGGTAAAACAATCCGTGTAAGCGGCCACCAGATGAAGCAGAGGATAAGAAGTTCACCATAAAGAGAGGAGTGGCCAACACAGAAGTGAATATAAGGCGATGTCTGCTGACCACAGGTCGACACCATCCTCTTACCTGCAGGGATGTTGTACAGATTTATCTGTCCTTTATTGGAATAAACTCTTTTGCACCAACTCTTGACCTTCTCCAGAGAAGTCTTTGCAAACTTATTGACTATAGTAGAAAGCTAATAAAAAGCTGTTGAGGGTGGGACCAGGCTTTAACTGGCCCAGCCTGGCCGTACATCTGAACCAACAACAGCCCGTCTGATACGGAATTCGATATTTAAGGATTTTAAAATCTGATAGCTGGTATATCGGCCGATATTCGTTTCAATTGCAGTTTAAAAATAAAATTTGTATTGTTAGAAATAGTACTTTGAACAAAAGAACAACAAAATATATTAAAGTTTTGATAAATAAGAGTCAAATGTATAAAACTACAGAAAACATTTTCAAAATGTCTGATTATAAATTATTAAATAGTGTATGTATTGTGGGGGTCATGGAAACACACTATTAAAAAAAAATACCAATATAGTACTACTACTAAAAAACAATACCATCTATAATCTCTCATGTCTGGCCTGTACTACGAAGCGAGGTAACTGGCTTATCCTGGTAACTACAGGAGTAACTTCGTGACGTCGGGTGTTCCCGGTTAACACGTACTACAAAACGTGGATAGGTTTTAATCGTGGTTAACTCGAGGTTACCCTGCACGTGGACTACACACCACATCTGTACTCAGTGTTAATAATGAGAAGTAGGATATTAATACACACCACTCACTTCATAATATGTTTAGATTTCATCCTGATTTGTTCCACTGCGGCTGCAACGAAGTTCTGAATACAACAGCATTACGTTCAGACGGCGAGCCCTGCAGCCTCGGTGATTTTAGAGAGGAATCTTAATTAATTAACGGGACAGTTCCTTAGATGTAGCCCACCTGTAGTCTATATTTTAAGTGTTTTCACATATTTCGATAGATTATTTTACGTGTCCAAAAAATAGGGAGCCAGGGTGAGGGGTAATAACGGAGAAAAAAAAACCTTGATGAAAGTGTGAAATTTCCTGAAATTAATGTCGTAAAAAAATCAAATATCACTCTGAATACTGTGAAGATTATTAGGCTACAAATTTACTCAAACCTCCCTGGCTTTGTCGCCCACCCCAATATTAGATTTAGCCGTTAACTTGTCTTTACATTCATAATTTCCTGACACTATCAACGTGCATTCCTCTGGAGAAATACAGAGCATGCACAAAACTCTGCCTGCACGGCCGAACACACCCCTATTATGCAAATGTGCACCAACTCCAATTAAGTTAACACGTACTCAACCAACATCTTATCCACCATCGTAGTACCGTTTAACTCCAGTGTAGGCGGTCAGAGTTTGTCAACACTGACTTTGCCTGATAACCCTGAGTTCACTCGGAGTAGGTTGAACTACCTTCGTAGAACAGGCCAGTCAGTGCGTAAGACACCAGGCATGCGACCTCTGACATAGCAATTGAAGTTGCTTTGGATAAAAGCGTCAGCTAAATGACTAAATGTAATGTAATGAGATGGAGCACATACGTAGAATAAATATGTATAAATAAATAGTTTGTTAAACTCTGTGTTACTTGAACATTTTACACTGCGCTCCTAAATTTCTTTGTGTGCTCCTAAATCTTCTCATTTAGGAGCACACAACGTGAGTGTTAATGTGAATGTTTTGTGAGGAGCTCTCCAGTTTGTCCTGAGGGACGAACAGACTGACAGTGACAGGAAGCAGCCAGCAGGAGGCAGCAGAGGAGCTTCAGTTTGTTCAACAGATGATAGTTTTCACTTTAAAGTCACTGGAGGAGCAAACTGTGTGCAGAGGGTTTGTGTCCTGTTACCTTTAATAGAAACAACCAGGATGGACGATATATGCGTACATGAGGATTAAGATAATGTCAGAGCCGATGCGAGAATCACACCAATTCAGCTACTATAATCATGACACAACAGTCCAAACTGCTGTAATATCAACCAGAGCATTCAGAATTAACCTGCTGTATTTTAAGTTGTCAAATAGTAATGGTGCCTGTAGTGGCACCTTAAAAACTTGTTTGCCACTCTTGCAGGACAAAAATTTGTGCTTTCTAAAAGGGCATATTTTGTAAAATCCAGTGAGGTTCTATTTGACACAAAACGCATCCGGCAGAAGTCCTAAATGTGTTTTCCATCAAACTGACACAAGGAGAAGAAAATACACGACAATCAGAAAACTGATGTCCTGCTAGGCAAACTTAATTTTTTTTACCGCAGCCAAACGATGCTCTCACCTATTTCTATTACACTTTACAACTGAAAAAGCTCAGCTACACGTTGATTTTTCAAAACACACTAATGACATCTGAGACAAACATCAAAAACTATTAAATGAAAAACAAGGGAAAAACGAATGAATATGAAGTTATTCAAAAAAACAAAACACCATTGTTAGTAAGGGGAAATTTAATAAGGCTACATTCCAAAAACTATGGCCCCGTGAGATCTAGCACTTTTCAAACTCACTAACACACACACAGACTCACTCCCGCTTGTCGCTTCAAAAAAATTAATTGCACATGCATTTGAATATACATTACTTTCATGATACAATTTGTAATATTTTCTTATGAAACTGTTGAAATTTAATTCATCCACCACATGATTACGCACTCTTTCTGATGACAAAAGGTGTTTGAATTGTAAAACACAGAATTCAGAAAAACTTTACAGAAAACACAGAATATGGCAAAATGTTTAACGCTGAGCGACTTGCTCTGCGCTGGAATCTGGATTCAACTATTCAAGTTCAACTATTTTGACGGCTCGCCAAGCAATGTCCCCACACTGCCGACTTCTGCTGTTTCTTTGGTGGAAATGAAGCTCTGGTCCCTTTGTCATAGTTTAGCCAGTGAACACTAGTAACCCTCCGTGTCTCAGATAAACTTCAAGCTGGTGCATCGCTCGTGTAACTTCGTTTTTTGTTTTGTGAAAGTTGCAACAGGTCCTTTCCCTCCAACAGAGACACTCTGTGTAGCGGAGCATTTTAATTAACTGTGACTCCTACTAGCTGAGGGTTCTGACACGTCTTAAGTTTGATATTTATATTAAATGTTACTTTGACAACATTTGGTTAAAAAAAAAAATAAAATGTAGGAAAGAGAAAGCAAATATTTATTACTCTGTTTTGTTTGTTTTGAGCCAGTGTCCGCCTACAGGGATAGTAAGTATTTAGTTTTTAAAGCTGTCCTGTCTGCAAGAGGCAGTGTGACGTCCAGCTAAGAAGAAACTTGTGTAGCTTTCACACGGATCTCCGTTTCCTTGTATCCTGTGTATTTGTACACCTCTCACCCTCAAACAATGCCTGAGCAGGCGTCCTCAGTTTGTCTATTTTTCAAAATCAAACTTTCAAAGCGTTTTTTGTCTGATCGGAGCCTAAGAGGAGCAGAAGACGGAGGATCAGTCGCTCAGCAAGTTTCCCTTAACTGCCGAACCGGAAGTTAACTTCAGCTTTGTCCAGTTTTAGCTAGCTAGCATGCTAACACCCAGGCAGCAGGCTACATGCTACAAGAGACCTCCTCCTCCTCCTCCTCCACCTCCTCCTCTCCGGGTCCGACCGTCACATTAAGTGTGGGTTCTGTAGAGATACGGGGTTCTGATGGCTCCACTGTTGAATCCTGCTACATTACATCTTGTTTACAGTCAATATGAAGCTACGTGTCGGAACCAGGCCGAGCTAACGCCACGTTAGCTTCTTGTTAGCTGCTAGCTGTGTTCATGAACACTGACCTGAACATCGGTGCTATCAGAGCTCGAGCCTGCTGTTTGTCCTCCGGGGACGTTGTTGCTCCGGGGCTCCGGGTCCTGGTTGTCCTCCTCCATCCCGCTCTTGGTCCTGGTCTCTGAGATCCAGCAGGTCTCCTCTGGGACTGTCGGAGCTCTTCAGATTCAGGAGCGCTGCAGGAACTCGTGGTTCGCCGTGTTCTGCGTTTTGTTCCTTTCCGGCAGACTTGGCTCTGTTAGTGCATTGCTGCCTCCCGCTGGTGATAAAGACAGTCTACATTAATGCTCCTCCTGACCTGTATTTTCCGATATCGGCCCACTAATTTCAGGAAGTTAATTAGTTCCAATGCTCTCTTTTTTTTGTTTAGGACCATCATCCATTTTAAAGTTTTAAAAGATAATAGTTCAACTCCTAAACTGACTCATGAATAACAGCCTCCTTCTCTCAGTATATCTCAGACAGTGCACAATATGTTTGACAGACTCCTGTACTGCACAGTCTGGACACTTCTGGCCAACTTAAAATGATCCATCCGAGGCAAAATCATTGTATTCACAGGGTTAATTGATGGTTAGATGTCATAGAACTTCCTCCCTCTGTTGACTTTCCGCCTCTCAAGCTGCCATTGTTGAGTCAGTCTTTCCTTTATGATGCTACAACAGTCTGTCTAAAGACTCCTCCACTTCTTCCCTGTCTAAACTTGAGCCTTCAGCCTCATTTCCCTCAACCCCAACAACTCCCCTGCTTCCACTAACAGTGCCAGAATTGGTGTTGTCCAGAATGCCCCATATCCTCAAAGCCCTAGATTGAACCACATCTAATTTATTTAGTGTGGACCTAGATGCCGATCCACATGCAAGACACTCATAATGAAAAACTGATCTTATCATATAGCTTTATAAATCATCAGCATAAGATTCTTGTTTGCACCCAGAACACCCAACCAAGTACCTCATAATATTAATAACCTTTCCACATTTATTTACCATCCTACATACATGTTCTTTATCTTAACTTTTCATCCACTCAGACACTAAGAAACTTGAAGACCCAGACTCTCTCAAGAGGTTCCCCATACTACTTAAGTCCTTGACTGTCTACGTTCGTCTTCCTGCCAAACACCATAGTAAACTGCTGCTTCTTCTGTCCCTGACACCTGGGTTCAGTATTGGAGCAGCAGCAGCCGTCGGAAACTGATTTCTACACGTGTGACAGGTGAAGAGTGTTAATCAGAATCAGAAAGAGCTTTAATAGTATTTTACACGTATGAGGACTTGGTGATAGCGTGCTACAGATAGACAAACATGTAGTTGTAAATATAAATACATGTAAAAATACATAAATATGGAGCAAACAGATGCACATTATAAAAGAATAACTATGTGTAGAGACAGAACAATGTAGCAGATTTTTACATTACTCCAGTTGTCTTCTGCAGTCATAACAGGAAGAGAGGATTTGTATTTATTTAACTATATAAATTGACAAAATAAGAAAGTGTAGAAGAATGATAATGAATATGTGCAATGATATGCAAAATAATTATATTACATTAGACAGACAATGAGGCTGCAGTGAGCGAGGACGTCCCATGTGGTGAATAAAAGTCCCCCATGTTCATGTCTCCTCCAACTCAGATGCTCGGAGGAAGCCAGGAGTCAAACAGCGTCCACTTGTCCCACCTGTTGTTTTCTCTCTGGCGTCTGGACACAAGCTTCACCTGAAACTCCACCTGACAACATGTGATGACACAGATCACTGAGACGTTTCTGCTGGACAGCTTCTGACTGTTACCTGCAAGGTGAGCGTGTTGATGAACACGTGACAGTGATCCACATCGTTAGAACAACACTGTGATGCACTTTGACCACAGAGACTCACTCAGTGTTTCACTGGATCACCTGAAGAGACCGGCTCAGGTGTGTTTGACTTCTGTGGGGAAACAACAAGAAATGAATCAGGTGTTGTGAGTTCATTTTGAGAAGCATGAATATCCTCCGAGGAGGAAAACTGTAAATACAACCTCCAATGTACAGAAAGCATTTCTCCACTCAGCATCATGAAAATGGATCTAAAGCTGTGAGACTGATTGATTCACCAGGCAGAAAGACTTTGGTTACAGCGCCCCCATGTGGCAGAGTGGGGCCAAATTTTCTACATGTGTAAATGACTGAGGAGAGAAAAAAGTCTGATGTGTCTAAGATTTATCACTGCATGGTAAAAGATGCGTTTGCATATGGCTTCATGTTCATAACAGTGAAATTACAAAACCACTCACAGGTGTGCTAAATAGACCCTGTGTAGGTCACATGACCAGTAAATTGTTGTACATTGTTCTCGTGTTAAAATAAAATCTTTATATTCCTCCAGAATTGTAAAGGGAATAACAAAAGCAGAGGAACGTCTTCATGATGATTCAGCAAATGGAAATGATTCCATGTGTGTGGAATCCAAATCAGAAATTAATCCTAAAAACTTTCAGTCACTTTGTCTGCTTCCTCTTCTTCGGCCAAAAGGCCTCTTTCAACAGACCACAGCTCCAGAATCAGAAACACCTGCAGAAAGCAACAGACTGGGGGAAAGGGAAGAAGTTGAGTTAGTAACATGTATTAATGGGATAAGGTTTCATACAGATGGAGGGAGAGAGGAGCTCAGTAAAAACACAAACACCAAACCAATCTTCAGTATTAGTGGAAATGTGTAAGTAGTTCTGCTTAGTTCAGTTCCTGTTTCGAATGTTGGCACAAAACTTCACATTATCCCAACAAAGTTAAACATGGTATACCAATTAATGCATATTTGATTCTGCACGGCAAAGTTTAACTTTTTTTATTTAAGTGTCCTTAAGGATTCTGGTGTCGACCTCTTCCTCTTTAGTTTTATCAGCTTTAATATTTCAGTTGATAATTTGCTCATGTGCTATTTATTCCATAATAAACTGGCATTTAATCAAATAACAACAACCTTCCATTATAGGAGGACTGGATGTTTCTGTTAAAGGTAACAGGATACAAACCCTCTGCACACAGTTTGCTCCTCCAGTGACTTTAAAGGGACTAGATGTAGTCTTTCAATAAAATTACTTGATAAATCAAATATTCATTGCCTTATTGTCAATGGGCTCACTTATAAATGAAGCACAGGCCTGTTTTCTCTGTTGCTTGCATCAGCCACTATTCTGCTATATATGTGAAGGAACCGGGTGGATTCAGCCCTGTGTGCGCTCCTGAGCCTCTCTGACTACAGCGACACCACCGCAGAGAAAGACCAATCCACTCATTTTGCTTGCTGCGGTCTAACTGTTATAAAGTCTCACAACAATCTCAATCTAATATTCAGTCCAGCTGATGCAGTGAATTTACTGTTATCATGTAACCAGTATAGATTAGTTCAACCTCAAACTGATAAAAATATTACTGTAATGTTGCAGTTGAGTTTACCTGAGACGCTGTCACAATGCTTTTTTTCCCGTGCGATGACTTTAACACTTTAAACTGCTCCAGCGTTTCAATTTGACGTTTGTTAGCGAATATTAGCTCAACACTAACTTGTTACCTATAGCAATTTATGATAACTGACTTTAGTGGTTTCTTTCTTTTATTTTACCTAAGGAACACATCAGTGTCTTTTTTTTTTTAAATAACATGCGTAGGGCACCGCCTACTGTGCTGAGCATGCTTGTTGTTAACAAAAAAAGACTGTCTGAAACAAAACTAATCTAAACACTGTATGAGAGCAGATCAAGTGTATGATTTTGTTCTGTTTTTCTTATAAACACAGGGTACGTTGGAAGAGGTGGGCTGCAGGAGATATCTTCTGAAGATCCCCACCCTGGATCCTGCAGCAATTTCTGCCAATATGCGGGAGGACAGTGATAATGAAGAACAAAATAAAAAATATGTTATACTCTCTCCAAGACTTGTTTTTATTTATATATTCTATATTGTTTCCACACTTAATAGGGAAATCACTGCAAATACAATTGCTCAATTAATCAATTAGTTGAGTGACACGATATTAATCAGTGACTATTTTAAGTCATTTTTCTTCATCTTAATTATTTGTTTTATTTTTTGATTGTTTTCTGGTACACAATATAAATCCTCCGCACCCGTCATTAATAAGCCGACGTGCAGCTCACCTGCTGCCGTGATAATGAATTGCGAGTGGAAATATAGAGAAAAGACAACTTCTCAGGGTTTTTTTTTTTTTTAGGTGACTTTTTAAAACATACTGCTGCTGGAGAAAATGGAGCAGACAGAGAAAGGCGGGGCAAGCCGGGGTGTTTACCTGAGGTGTAGGTGTGTGTGAGTGTGTCAGAGTGTGGGGAGGAGAGAATTCTGAGGCAGGTACAAAGCATACTTAAATAAGAATAATGTTCGTGGTCATTAAAACCTGCTTTCACAGGGTGGTATAATGTGAAAATTTGAGGGGGGTTTTGCATCAACAACATGTCTGTCAGCCATCGCTGATGGCATCGTCTATCGGCCCAAACCTAAAAGATGGAGGAACAGCAGCACTCTGTTCCCTTTATTCTTCATCTTTATTGGTCTGTCTGCTTAATGAGCAGCAGGTGGCGCTCAAACACAGTCTGACTCTTCAACAAAACCTCTGGAAGCTCTGTTAGACTCTGAAGGACTGAGAGTGAAAGTCTGGAGGTTTCTTTTGACCCCAAACAGACTCAGAGGCCAAAGAGTGGGCTTTTGTTTTCCACAAGTGATGCAGTTCATTAGAAAACATGATATTTAATTAGGAATGTGAGAGCGAGAAGACGATAAAGAGGTTTTCCACCTTTGTAAATCAGCTTCCACCGCTTGTTTTGGTGCTGCTGCACAGACGACATCAGAATCTGAAGTAGAAGTTAAAGGTTTGTGACTGCAGGATCAAAACAGGACGTTTCACTTTCATCATGCTCCTTTGAAAACACAACTTTTCTCTCTTTGATTTCTGATCAGCTCGGAAGTGACGGTCTGTGGTGACAGCGGTGATGAGGTCATCATAGCCATAATCCAATCCCTCCTCAGCCTGGGTCATCACCAAATGTAAAAGCGTAACTGGTCTGTGTTTGAACCAATAACCACAGAACAACAAATACTGTTGAATACAAACAGTTCATTAAACGTCCAGTTTGAAATGATGAGTCAAAGTTTCTCTTTGTGTCGACTAATTTAATGAAAACATTGAAAAGGACTCGAGTCTCCTGCTCAGATTATTACAGCACCAACCCTGGCAGGATGCAAGTTAAACAGAAAGCAACACATTTACTGACAGAACAGAAAGCAAACAGCTGTTAAAATGGAGTCAGATAATGAAGACAATAATATTTGATTCAATCAGACTTTCACAAGAACAAAGGTTTGTTCAGACTGAAAACAAATGTGGTCTGTAGTGGTTTTGTAGTCCCTGTTTATTCAGCGCCTCTTCCTCCTCACTACACACTGGACCACAGCAGTTAAACCCAGTGGACCTGGTTCAGGCCTCTTAAACAGTGGGACTTTGTGATTTTTGCCCCGTCTTCAAGTGTTGATATTTGGAGCAAGTATAAACAGACGTCATGATCTAGTTTGTTTGAAGCGTACCGAGTCCTGCGGCTCTTTGCTTCGACTAGAATTGGTTTTGCTTTCAGTCTGAACAAACCTCAACAGATTCAAAACCACATTCAGAAAATAACAACAGATCAAAATACACAACTACTCTATATACAGTTAACCTGGAGAAAAAATGTAAAGTAACTAAAGAAACAAGAAATTACCTGTTTAAGAGAAACATAATGGGACCGAGATTTTACGCCAAACAGTTTTGATGATGTTTTCAGGACCCCACAAGATTTAATATAATGAAGGAGGAGTGGACTCTTCAGAAGATACAGCTAATAGATTTGATCTCTCTAGTAATCACTTCATTTGCAGGTGAGAAGCTATTTGAGAGAGAGAGAAAGGCCCACATGAGAACTCTTGGAGACTTTTACCTGTTCGGAGATACATGGTAAAGACTCACCAAAGCTACAACCCCAAAAACACAACTGGACACATCTACCAAATACTAAAGGAAATAAAATTAAACATAAGTACAAAAACAGCAGAACAACATGTAAAAAAACAACAACATATAAATGATATATATTGACAATAAATTATAAACAAAAGAAAATAAAAACAGTGAACACAGATATAAAATAAAGATTAAATGAAAATTCCACAAAAAGGTGGAAAATACATTTAACTACAACAAAATAACAAGAAAATATATATGAAGCTCACAGAAACAATATTTCATCCAGCGTGGAGCTTCCTTCTTGACTTTGGGGAACACATCTGTAATAAATGAGTCTAAACTCAAGCCTCACATACTACCTCTTTGTTGGAGCTTTTGACCACATCCCATGGCCTTCTTCAGCAAACTGAACCTCCTCAGTCATCATCACATGACTCTAGTCCAGCACAGTCACATGATAACAGGTGGTTGTATTCAGGTGGAGATGTAATCTCTGTCTCTGTTCTCAGATGCATCTTTGAACAGAGACAGAGGTTACCAGTTCCACCTGAGCACAATCACCTGAAGTCTTGCGATGACGGCCAAGCCTGATCTATTGACAGAAGTAGGCTGTAGTGGCATTAAACAAAAAACAGCAAACACGCTGTGGTTACAGATTCCCAGATTCTCAGATCTGCTTCCTCTCTTTATCTTATGTGATAACACACAGAAAATTGTGACAGATGGACAGCAAGAAAATTGACGCAGTGCTAACAGTGCTAGCTTATTTTTTTTTACAAGATCAAAATCAAAATGAATAACAACATGAATAAAGAGAAGATTCATTTACAAATATTCAACTTATTTACTTAATAAAGTGGTTCAGGAATCATTCAGCCAGGCTGAATCAGTAGATGCATGTAGCCTGGCTCTGACCCATGTCTTCCAGGGCCCTCCCTCCTGCAGAGGAGTGAGGGTGGGCGGAGAGCCCTCATTGTGTTTGACGACTAGAGCTGAACGATTTAGGGAAGGAAAAAAAAAAAACAATCGAATTGCGTTTTTTATATTATATATATTAATATTGCAATTTATTTAATTTACTTTTTATCTGTATTATTTAAAACAGTCAAGCCATAAATCATTATATAGTAATGAAACATATATACAAAAGTTGGTCAACTAAAATTAAACAAAGCGACGCCTCACACATCTAATAGACAAGATCTGTAATTCTCCGACAACGCCATGCTTCATCCTATTGCACTATTATCGCAAATGCAATTAATCGTTCAGCCCTAGTGACAACCACCTTATTTTGAAGAGAGGAGGGGCAGGATAGTATTTAGTGACCACCTCTTAAGCCCCTCGTTGCTCCAGAGGCGTGCGACCTCTGACATAAATAGCAATTGTAAGTCGCTTTGGATAAAACGTTAGCTAAATGAATAAATGTAGATGTAGTCACAGCCACGATAACACACCTGCTGCTAAAAATATAAAGTTACTGTTCATCTCAGTTTGTGGAGAAGCTCAGAATAGAAGAACACAGCTATCGAGGCATGAGGAGGAGGCAGGATGAAACAACTAGCTTGGCTCTGAAAATGTTCAAAGTGAGGCAGCATGTCTGCGTTGGTGAGCTTTCAGGGAACTACTCCATGCCAACAACGTCCCACATTCATCACACCAGTACAGTTTCTGTCCCGTGTGAACCTGTCGGTGCTTATCCAGGTAACTTGATGTAGTGAAAGCTTTCCCACATTGTTCACACACGTATGGTTTCTCTCCTGTGTGAATGCGTGTATGAACTTTTAATCTATTTGAAGTAGAGAAAGTTTTCCCACACTGTTCACACCTGTACGGTTTCTCTCCAGTGTGACTACGTTTGTGGGTTTTTAAGTTACCAGACAACGCGAACGCTTTCTCACATTGGTCACAGCTGTACGGTTTCTCCCCAGTGTGAACACGTCTATGCTTCACTAGGTCGCATGACGTAGTGCACGATTTCCCACATTGGTCACACCTGAATGGTTTCTCTCTAGTATGAACACGTCTGTGTCTTAGTAAGTTACCTGATATATTGAAAGTTTTCCCACACTGGTCACAGCTGTACGGTTTCTCTCCAGTGTGAACTCTCTGATGAATCTTTAAAGATCCAGATCTTGCGAAGAATTTGTTACAGTGCTGACAGCGGTGACGTTTGAGTCCATCTCTTCCTCTCTGTTTCTATATCAACAGAAAGACATACAGAGAGAAAGACAGTAAGTGAGAAGTCATGGTGGAGTGAGCTATGTGGAACTAGGGATGCACGATATTTATCGATCCGATTTAATGTCTGGAGATATTAGACATATTTTCATTATTGGAATCATATCGGAAAATGAAATGTTGGCGGATGATTTAGCCGAAGAGAATCAAACAATGCTGTTACATACGCCGCTGCTGTTGTTGTGCTCTGGTTGTCATGTTGCTGCGCCTGAATCAAGCCAGGCAGACGCAAGTGCAGGCAGCTACAGCCAAACAAACATGCCATCGATCGTTCGGATGTTTTTCACCATTTAAGAAGAAGACGTTCTATTGCATTATGGTACCAGTCTGTCCTCCTGTCCTCTCTCTGCTTTGATTTACTGCAGGTAACAATGTGCCAAGTTGTAAGCTACATGACAAACTAAGCTGAACAGTTAAGACTACAGACAGCTTTCAATTTAGCTGGTTTGTCCATTTGGCTAATTGCTAAGCTAAAGTTAGCTGTGTTTATATAAAACAAAAGCCGCGTTTCAACCAAAAGCACCGGGGACTTTTATTTGTAACCACTATCCATATGCAGAATTTATAAATGAACATCAGATTGGAATATAATGAAAAACTATAGGCTATGCTTGACAATTAAAGCAGCTTTTTTTCAGTGGAAGTATAATGAAGAGACACACGATAAAGTTTGTTACACATTTAATAACAAACTAGATAAAACCATCCAGTTCTTAAAATAACTCCAGCACAGAGAAAGTAACACAAAAATAAAAACGAGGCTGTTTGTATGGTTATTAAAACATTTTCAGCTGGCCAGACTCACGTCTGTGTCGGGATTTTAACGAGCTTCATTACCTGCTGTAATCAGCTGGTCCGCTTGTTTTGGAGAAGAGGAGACCGACTTCGGCTCCGTGTAGAAATTTTCTGACTGATGAAAACTTAAAACAGCAACTCAGTACGCAAGCCGACACACACAGACGGCAGGCAGAGACTACAGCCTGGTAATAAGCAGTTCATTCCCGGGCCCGTTTAATACCGCTTTTTGGTGCCCGTCACTAAATAACAGTTTTTTTATTCATCACTAAATAACATAAATAATCACTAAATAATATTCATCACGTTTCAATCGGGAGGAAGATTGTACGAGATTTTAAGCACTCCCAACTTGCCATCTCTTTTGTAAAAGAACACATTTTACATGCTGAGGAGTTTGCTGTATCAGTGTGAACAGCTGACAAGACATAGTAGCTCAGCTACAGCCACAGCAGCAGACGTGATCCAGCTCAACTTTTTTCCCCCAGCCTTGTTTGCTTTACATCACATCCTAAGGACCAAGGTTTTAGGTCTGGACAACACCTGCTTTTATTTTGTGCTGTAGACAGCACTCTGTGACAGTGCTGTTTGCAGCTCAGAAAATATATGGAGATTGGTTGTTACGGTTTTGAATAAAAAAATAAAATGTGGCACTGGCATATAATCCTCTCCCAAGTGAAACAACTTTACTTATTTTTCAGGGGTGTTTTTTGTAGAATGAAATGTTGTCTTATTTAATATGTTTCTACAACACATGAGAAATAGGGAGAGGCTTAGCTTTATCTTCAGTGAAATTAAAAAACAAAAAAAAGTGTGTAAATATCTGTATAAGCATCGGCAAAAATGAGTTCTAACATATCGGCATTTCGAATATCGGCAAAAATCCAATATTGTGCATCCTTATCTAGAACCATAAATGACTTTTAGAGCATGTCTGTGGAATATAACCCACAATGTTAAATTTAAAAAGTTACAACCGAGACAACCAGCTGCAGCGGGGGGAGTCCAAAGCAGAGATGGTCACTCGAGTTTGAGACTTGGACTCGATATGCACTTAAGTCACACTCACAGTGACTTCAGACTTGACTCGGACTTGTGAACAATGTCTATTTTTAGGAAACCTCCTATGAGCTGCTGTGCCATTTATCATAAACTTTGGCTTTAAAACTTCATATAACAAGACCTTCTCTTTCTTTTTTCTGCAATGTAACCTCAATATTGGGGGTCTAAACGTACTCGAAAAGTCTTTGCACAAAATTCAGGAGTGGCGAAAAACTTCGTATTTTATGGTTTTCGTGCATTGGCGTAGCAAAATGGTTCGCTAGCCTCCCCTACAGAACAGCCCCCAGACTAAGTTTCACCTACGTAGGCGAAATTTCTGTGGTAAGTGTATAACGCCCAGACGTACAAAAAAGCCTCTTGGAGCCATTGCCTAAGCCCAACAGGAAGTCAGACATTTTGGATTCAAGTGTCATTTTTGGCAATTTACACACTTTATAATTTAACAAATTTCTCCAAAAAACTATTCCAATCGACTTCAAATTTTCGCTGTGCAACCTAAACCCATTGACAAAAGTTATTACCAGTCGACTAGTTTGCCCATAACGTGCTATCAAAACTCGATGATTCGTTTAACAGGAAGTTGTTATAACTTCAGTATACATGCTCACATCTTCACTAAATTTTACATGTATAATAAGAGTTCTACATGTTAAGTTGTAGTTGTAGTGCAAAGTGCTATGTAGCAATGACAAATGGGACACAGAAAGTGATTATTAACACGTTTGTGCAAAGTCCGTGGCAAATTCACAGCCACACGGTCAGAGCTACAGAATCTGCAACGCAGCCGCCTCACACCTCAACACACTACACGTGAGAGGGCCCGCCCAACGCTGCTTGCAGCTTTAATCATTATTATTTTCCATCTTGGGTTAATTGGACCAAGTAGTCACGTTACACACGTAGTAATAACCTACTGGCAATACAAATACAATATAGTCCTAAACAGCTACTGCACCCACCAGCCGCCGCCGCATTATACACTGTATGTCCCCCAAAGTGAACATGTAAATAAACATGAGCTGAACAAGAAAATAACACGGATTCCTGTAGCTCAGGCTCTTTATGTGACTTTGTAGATGTGAAACGCTGTAGTCAGAGCCGTAACGGCTCTGGTTGTTGTTATAACGTTAGTTAAATTAAATCTCAAAGTTGCAGGTCCTCGTTGTAGAGTCATGTAGTATTAGATGCATTCAACAGCAGCTCACTGTATCCTAGACGGCATGATTTATACCGATGGTGGTTAAATGGTTTCACGTAGCTTTGGTTAGAATTAAAGGGCGCTGGTAAAGGGATGAACTAGATGTGAATGTGCTACATTGAAATTATGGCAGATTATGTGTAAAATGCTTATTCTATCTCACTCTCTCTGTTTACAGACAGCTGAAAAAGTTGAACCTTCCAGCAAACAAAACAAATATTTATTGATGTGCAATTGTTTACAAGTTCACTTTGAGACTGTAATCGATTTTATTAACATAATCCATTCAGGAAAAGGTTTTTAGCCCACATACATTCCAGCTTTCTATATTGTCCTGTTCTAAGTGTAGTTTATACAGTAAAGGGGTCTACTATCCAAATCATTCTTAAAATCAAAATATCGGCTCATAAATCTGCTCCTTTTCACTTTAATACAGGCATCGGCCCCCAAAAACCCACATCATTAAGTCCTATTTATCAGTTCGAGCTCAGTTTGTACATGTTAACAATGAGTCCTCCATGCACGCCAAAGTTAGTCATGGAGTTCCACAAGATTCTGTGCTCGAGCCAATCCTCTTCACTTTATATATGCTTCATTATGGCAGTATTATCAGAACATACTCCATAAATTACAGCGGTGGTGATGGAGACACATGCCTTTGGTGTGAGAGACCCGGGTTCGATTACCCACTGTGAGACGTCCACCAATGTGTCCCTGAGCTAGACACCTAGTTGCTCCAGAGGCGTGGGACCTCTGACATTTATAGCATTTGTAAGTCACTTTGGATAAAAGCTAAAATGAATCAAATTTAAATTTTCATTGTTATGCAGATGATACTCAATTATTTTAATCAAGCCAGATGAAACTCATCAGTTAGCTAAACTTCAAATGACCTGTAATTTTCTAATGTCTAACTCATAAAACTGAAGTTCTGGGGCCCAAGCACCTCCGTGACACTTTATCTGAAGATATAGTCACTCTGGATGGCATCGCCCTGGCCTCCAGCACCACTATGAGGAATTTTGGAGTTATCAATTCAGTTCAAATTAGCTTTATTGGCATGAATGTATAACAATATTGCCAAAGCATCAAACTACATAAGAACAATCAACCCCATATATTTCATTTAACAATTAAAGCGTAAATTAATTAAAGCGTATGTGTTTAAAAATTAAAAATATTTTAAAAATTAAAATAAATACATAAAACAGTAAGTGAGTGAGTGAGTGAGTGAGTGAGTCTGATGATGCAGAAAAACTAGTCCATGCATTTGTTACTTCTAGGCTGGATTACTGGAATTCCTTATTATCAGGCTGCTCGAAAAGTCCATTAAGACTCTTTAGCTGATCCAGAATGCTGCAGGTCGTGTTCTGACAGGAACCAGGAAAAGAGATCACATTTCTCCTGTTTTAGCTTCTTTGCATTGGCTTCAAGTAAAATCCAGAATAGAATTTAAAATCATTCTTCTTACCTACAAAGCTCTTAATGGTCAGGCACCATCTTATCTTAAAGAGCTCATAGTACCTTACTACCCCACCAGAGCACTGCGCTCCCAGAATGCAGGGTTACTTGTGGTTCCTAGAGTCTCCAAAAGTAGACTAGGAGCCAGAGCGTTCAGCTATCAAGCTCCTCTCCTGTGTGACGTCATTCCCAGACCACTGACTTTCGAGGTCAATAGAAAGCACCATATGTCCCGTACTAGCTAGCTAGCATGCTAACACCCAGGCAGCAGGCTACATGCTACAAGAGACCTGCTGCTGCTCCTCCTCCTCCTCCTCCTCCTCTCCGGGTCCGACCGTCACATTAAGTGTGGGTTCTGTAGAGATACGGGGTTCTGATGGCTCCACTGTTGAATCCTGCTACATTACATCTTGTTTACAGTCAATATGAAGCTACGTGTCGGAACCAGGCCGAGCTAACGCCACGTTAGCTTCTTGTTAGCTGCTAGCTGTGTTCATGAACACTGACCTGAACATCGGTGCTATCAGAGCTCGAGCCTGCTGTTTGTCCTCCGGGGACGTTGTTGCTCCGGGGCTCCGGGTCCTGGTTGTCCTCCTCCATCCCGCTCTTGGTCCTGGCCTCTGAGATCCTGCAGGTCTCCTCTGTGACTGTCGGAGCTCTTCAGATTCAGGAGCGCTGCGGGACCTCGTGGAGCTCCTCTTCGCACAGTCTCAAGAGTCTCGCGCGACCGCTCCGTAGTTACTGTTGCTTAGCAGCAGAATCAGTGTTTCCAAGACGTTGAAGCTTTTTGTCCCGCAGAGATTCACAAACCATCGTTACTGTATCAGCAGCTGGAGACTCTGTTCTGTTCTCCAGACTGCAAACAGCCTTAAAACGAGTTCTGGTGATTCAGTTCATTTCAAACAGTCATTTCTTTTTGTCCTCATTGTTCCATATTTAATACTTGTGGGTCATAAAAGTGTGTTTATGCTGAAGTGGCCGTGAGAGACGTGTTTGTTTCTGGCAGCTGAAGTTTTCCTAGAATTATATTCAAAGTGACAGAAACCAAACATCAAAGATTAAATTAGTTGAATCCACTTTTTATTTTAAATGTGTGTTTAAGCTGAAGTTAGCAGGATAATCCACTGATGTGTCTCTGTGATCCAGAGCCTGTTCTGGTCCTTCAGTAGTTCACTGCTGCTGACACAGACACAGATCTGGGATCATCATTGAAGCAGCAGCAGCAGCTTCTGAAACTGACACTGAGTGATTTTTACACTTGTGACAGGTGAGGAGTGTTAATGAGGCTGCAGCGAGCGACGACGTCCTGTGAGGTGAATAAACATCCTCTGTCCTCACAGGTCCTCTCTCTCAGGTCCACAGAGCTCAGGGATGCTCGGAGGAAGCCAGGAGTCAAACAACATCCACCTGTCCCACCTGTTGTTCCTGTCTGGCGTCTGGACAATTAATAACAAAATATTATTACAGTTCTATGTGATCTGATTTAAAGTGACTTCATGAGCTTTGGGTCTGAGGAAGAAGAAATGTGGTTTAAATCCTTTTTATTTGGACTGTTGGACTGGCTTCACTGTTTATTTACATAAATCTCAGCTGTTTGTGTCACTGACATTAAAATATTTTCTTGCTGTTACTTCCTGTATTTCTGTCCCCAGTTAGCGGCTGCTCTCATCTGGTTCTGTCCTTCAGCTTCTCTGCAAGCTATTCATTAAATAAAGTTATTCAAACTGCTGCTGCTGTCTGTGCAGCTGATGTTTTGCTTTGTAGTCCTCTCAGTCTGTCAGGTGGACGTGGGGGAGGGGGTGGAGTCTGTCCTGCTGCCCTTCAAGACCACAGCTCTCCTCCCTGAGGACATCAGAGTGGAGCTGAACCCATAAAGACGGTCCACGTGTATCAGAACGGCTCTGATTATTCTGACCAACAGGACCAGTTTTACAGAAATCACACAGAGATGAAGGACGACCTGCTGAGAACTGGAGACCTCAGTCTGACCCTGAAATCCCCCACAGATGGAGACGAAGGACGATACTGGGTCTACGTCTCCAGCAGAAACATCAGTAGAGAGAAAATATTTGATCTCAGAGTCAAACGTCAGTATGGAGAGTGATGTCAGTGTCTCTGTGTTTGTCTCTATCTGACTGTCCTCTGTCTCCTCTGCAGAGACAAACAGGAACAGAAGCAGCTCCACTGATCCAACTCCTCTGATGACCGATCAATTAGTTTGATCATTGATCCGATCTGACTCTGGATTAGAGAGAAAATGGAGGTGAAGCAGCTGATAGAGGACAGATGAAGACAGGAAGACGCTTTATCAGCTTCTTCTTCACTCTGACTCCTACTGACTCTCACACCCTTTTCTATTAATCAGTGATGTCAGAGTGAGGTCAGCGTGATGTCACATGTTGATCCGCTCTGGGATCTGGACTGAAACATGTCCTTGTTGTTTCTGGAGACTTTCAGTGTCCATGGATGTCCTCTGAACTGGACAGAGGTCTCACTCTGGAGGAAACTCCCTCATTGTCAACAAACAAAGCGCTTTTCCCCCCTTCATTAATTTCTCTGTTCAGCACATACGTCTCTTTGTCCTGCAGAAAGCCGTCCCTCCGTCTGAACATCCACTTGGTCTGTCAACAGAAAACTCCTTCATTAACGAGAACATCACTGTTACCAGCAGGACGTTTCCTTCATCACTGTTCACGTCCACACTGTCACATGTCCAAAGACTTGTCAACAGAACATGGACTTGTGGATTTAGTTTCTCTTTGAGACTTGTGTCCAGTAAAATGTGTCCAGAGGCTCTGAACGTCTTCATGATGATTCAGCAAATGGAAATGATTCCATGTGTGTGGAATCCTAATCAGAAATGAATCCTAAAAACTGTCACTTTGTCTGCTTCCTCTTCTTCAGCCAACAGGTTTCTCCTCACAGACCACAGATTCAGAAACACCTGCAGAAAGCAACAGGAGGAGAGAGCACAAGACTAAGGGAAAGGCCAGAAGTCCAGTTAGTAACATGTATTAATGGAATAAGGTTTCATTCAGATGGCAAGAAAGAGGGGGAGAGAGGAGCTCAGTGCAAACACAGACAAACACCAAACCAAGCTTCAGTATTTGTGCGTCTGTGGTTGTCGTAGTTACGACAGCTGTTCTTCTTCTTCTTCTTCTTCTTTTTGTTTTATGGCTCTCCTCTCTTCTGTTACTTCTATTCACACCCTGAGCATTAATAGATTTTTGCAAGCTGTAATATTTCGTTCCACTTTTATCCACATCCCACCTGTCCTGCCATTTCTTCATCATTTCTTTTTTGATTATCGCATTAGCTTCTCCTTTATGACAGGTGTTGATGACCCACAAGCGCGGTCTGTTTCCACGCCCATAAATCTGTGCAACCTTGCTGTTGGGCATCCCGTCGAGACAGTGGCTGATCGTCAGCAATATCTAAACAAAAAATCATTATTAGTCTATCAGAATACGTTACCCCTGAAATGATGTTACAATGTAATAAAAAAAAACAGAAGATGTCATAATACAGTGAGAGTTATAACTTTATGGGATTGGAAAAGGGAACACATAAGGTAGCGTTTTTCGATAGTGCAGAGCGACTCAATAGACTCTGCTATCGATTTGTGCTACGGTAGCAGTTTTCGACAATTCGTCAGAACACCGGCGTAGCTTAAAACAATTTATAGAGCAAACAGCCAGCCGTCGCTCTTTTAAACGGGAGACTGATCAACTTATGACCACACTGTCTGTGCACTCAAGACCATGTTGGTACTTTACTGGTTCCCATCACAACCAGGCTGCCGTTTAACACAGAGTTATTTACATATAGGCAATAGTTATGTTAATAGCCTATTTAAACAGTGGATATGTGTAACTAGTTCTGGTTAGTTCGAAGGTTTCCACAAAACTTCACATTCTGTGACATTAATTAAACATGGTGTACCTAATAATAGTGATGGTCAAAGCTTTTGTGAAGCACTGAACCACTTAAGCCAAATGTTTCGAAAATGGGTTAATTATTCGAAGCTTTAGTTACAGTGACCTCTCCTGGCGAAGTTCAACGCTGCAGGTAATAACATACACGCACGCCCCTCAATTAGCAGTGTTGGAGAAACTACTTTACTTTTGTAGAAAAGACCTTTATTTCTGAAGCATCTTTGCTTTAATCAGCCTTGGATTTAAAGTATATTTACTTTGAAAATTCTTTGATGCACACACATTAAGACTGAACATCATGTTCTATTTACAAATACAGATTGATGAATGCGTGTATTGTCCTATTGAGGAGAGAGTGCTGGGAAATGTGGCATAGGTTGGATGTCATGAGAAGCTTTCCAGCCCCCTTATTAGAAACTTTGTGTTGTGATGTTGACCTCTTCCTCTTCAGCTTCATCAGCTTTAATATTTCAGTTGATATTTTGCTCACATGCTGTTTATTCCATAATAAACTGGCATTTAATCAAATAACAACCTTACTGGGCTGCTGATCTTCCATTATAGGAGGACTGGTTGGTTTCTATTAAAGGTAACAGGATACAAACCCTCTGCACACAGTTTGCTCCTCCAGTGAGTTTAAAGTGAAAACTATCATCTGTTGAACAAACTGAAGCTCCTCTGCTGCCTCCTGCTGGCTGCTTCCTGTCACTGTCAGTCTGTTCGTCCCTCAGGACAAACTGGAGAGCTCCTCACAAAACATTCACATTAACACAACAGCTACATTTACTACACTGCTGTACTCAAGTACAACACTCAGGTACTTGTACTTTACTTTCTACTTCTACTCCACATCTCAGAGGGAAATATTGTACTTTTACTTCAATATATTTATCTGACAGCTTTAGTTACTAGTTACTAAACAAGCAACACACCAAAAGTTTATAAAATATGTTTTGTTATATGTTAAATTACCCAACAGTTTATACAACTACAGCCTTATTTGTCCATTACTCAATTTAAATATTATATATATATATATAATTTTTGGAAAACATTTCATGTTTTCAGCTGATTTTAATATTTTATTTATTACTACATTTATCTTACAGTTTTAGTTACATGTTACTTTACAAATTAATATTTTTACACATAAACACATGAAGAGTTTATAAAAAATGTTTTTTTCTTTTAAATTGAGAGGTTTCTTTTGACCCCCAAACAGGCTTTTTTCCACAAGTGATGCAGTTCATTAGAAAACATGATATTTAATAAGGAATATGAGAGTCAGAAGACGGTGGAAGCTGATTTACAAAGGTGAAGCTTCCACCGCTTGTTTTGGTGCTGCTGCACAGACGACATCAGAATCTGAAGCAGAAGTTAAAGGTTTGTGACTGCAGGATCAAAACAGGACGTTTCACTTTCATCATGTTCTTTTGAAAACAACTTCTCTCTCTTTGATTTGTGATCAGCTCGGAAGTGACGGTCTGTGGTGACAGCGGCGATGATGTCATCGTAGCCATAATCCAATCCCTCCTCAGCCTGGGTCATCACCAAATGTGAAAAAGTAACTGGTCTGTGTTTGAACCAATAACCACAGAACAACAAATACTGTTGAATACAAACAGTTCATTGAACGTCCAGTTTGAAATGATGAGTCAAAGTTTCTCTTTGTGTCGACTAATTTAATGAAAACATTGAAAAGGACTCGAGTCTCCAGCTCAGATTATTACAGCACCAACCCTGGCAGGATGCAAGTTAAACAGAAAACAACACATTTACTGACAGAACAGAAAGCAAACAGCTGTTGGAGTCAGATAATGAAGACACGATAATATTTGATTCAATCTGATTTTCATAACAACAAAAGTTTGTTCAGACTGAACACAAATGTGGTCTGTAGTGGTTTTGTAGTCCCCGTTTATTCAGCGCCTCTTCCTCCTCAATACACACTGGATCAAACCACAGCAGTTAAACCCAGAGGCCTCCAGTGGACCTGGTTCAGGCCTCAGAAACATTTGGACTTTTGCCCCTGTCTTCAAGTTTTAACATTTGGAGCAGGGATAAACAGACCTAATATGCTGTTTGTTTGAAGCATACAGAGTCCTTCAGACGTTGATCTCAGAACTCAGCAGAAACTCCCCTTCTTTAGTTTTTCTTTCGGTTTGTTTTTTTTGTCTCTCTGTTCATTAATCAAAGATAAACCTGAATTCTTCATTTAAGCATTTCAGACTTGAGCCGACACGTCTTCACCTCAGCTGGCGCAGTCTTTAATGAATCTGCGGCTCTTTGCTTCAACAAGAATTGGCTTTACTTTCAGTCTGAACAAACCTCAGATTCAAAAACACATTCAGAAAATAACAGAGAAAATACACAACTACTCTATATACAGTTAACACATTTAAAATCTGGAGAAGAAAATGTAAAGTAACTAGAGGAACAAGAATTTACCTGTTTAAAGAGAAACATCATGTGACCCAGATTTTACTCCAAACCGTATTGATGATGTTTTCAAGCCATGGGAAAGTGAGGACCCCACAAGATTTTACCAAACATAATGAAGAAGGAGTGGACTTTTCAGAAGATACAGCTAATACATATGGTCTCTCCAGTAATCACTTCTATGGGATGGGGATAAGACACATGTCTTTGGTGTGGGAGACCTGGGTTCAATCCCCCACTGTGACCCATCCACCAATGTGTCCCTGAGCAAGACACTTAACCCCTAGTTGCTCCAGAGGCGTGCGACCTCTGACATACAATTGTAAGTCGCTTTGGATAAAACCGTTAGCTAAATGAATAAATGTACATTTTCATTGTTATACAGATGTTACTCAATTATATCCATCGATCAAGCAAGATGAAACTAGTCAGAGGCTCCAGAGGCGTACGACCTCAGACATACTTCGCTTTGGAGAAAAGCGTCAGCTAAATGAATAAATGTAAATATTTACAAGTGAGAAGGTATTTGAAAGAAAAAGTCCACATGAGAACTCTTGGAGACCTCCACCCCTTGTGAGATACATGGCAAAGACTCACCAAAGCCACAACCCCAAAAACACAACTGGACACATCTAACAAATACTTCAGGAAATAATAAGAATAAAATAGTACACGTTTTATTTAACAAAAACAGGAAAGGTATCAACGACATGTCTTGACACAAAGTATAACAAAGAAAATTCCACAAAAAGGAGAAAAATATGTTTAGCTACACAATATCAAGAAAATATGTATGAAAAACGGAAACAATATTTCAATTTCAGCAAGCCTGGCGCAGTAAGTAACGTTAGTGGATGGGTCTTCCTCTGTGTTGTTGTCCTGCGCAGTTATTTTCTATTTTTGTATAATACATGGGTCAGAGACTGAGAAGTGGAGAAGCTGTGTACCAGAGTATCAGCAAAACATAAATAAATCTATATTGAATGTTACGAAGTCAACAGCGGCAGATCGGTGCTAAAGTAGCTGGCTGCTGCAGCTGGTGTAGAGAACGTAAGTCCCTACCCTTCCTGTGGACCAGCATAGGAAAACTAGGTACGGTAGTCTATGGCAAGAGAACCAATTTTTTGATCCCGTTTGAATTGCGCTCTGAATGACGCATATGATGATGGTCATCTATCAGGGAATGCGGAGGCAGGAGGAAACCTCTAGTCTGGCTCTGACAAATGTTCAAGACGAAGCAGTGTGACTGCATTTGTGGCGTTTAAGGGAACCTCTCTGAGAAAAAGCTTTCCCACATTGGTCACAACAGTAAGGTTTCAAGCCAGTGTGAACACGTTCGTGGATTTTTAGGTCACCCGATGTAGTAAAAGCTTTCCCACATTGTTCACACCAGTAAGGTTTCACCCCAGTGTGAACACGTTGGTGGACTTGTAGTACACCTGAGGTAGTGAAAGCTTTCCCACATTCGTTACAGTGGTACGGTTTCTCTCCGGTGTGAATTCGTTGATGTTTTTGAAGTCCACCTGCTGTAGCGAAAGCCTTCCCACACTGGTCACACCAGTAAGGTTTCTCTCCAGTGTGAACACGTTGGTGAACTTTTAGTATACCTGAGCAAGTGAAAGCTTTCCCACACTGGTCACAGTGGTACGGTTTCTCTCCAGTGTGAATGCGTTGATGTTTTCTAAGTCCACCTGATATAGTGAAAGCTTTCCCACACTGGTCACAACAGTAAGGTTTCTCTCCAGTGTGAACACGTTGGTGGAGTTTCAGTTTATCTGATGAGGTGAAAGCTTTCTCACACTGGTCACAGCTGTATGGATTCTCTCCAGTGTGAACACGTTGGTGGATTATCAGTTTATTTAATTTAGTGTAAGTCTTCCCACATTGGTCACACCAGTAAGGTTTCTCTCCAGTGTGAACATGTTGGTGTATTTTCAGGTCATCTGATCTAGTGAAAGTTTTCCCACACTGGTCACAGCTGTACGGTTTCTGTCCAGTGTGAAGTCTCTGATGAATCTTTAAAGATCCAGATCTTGTGAAGGATTTTTCACAGTGTTGACAGTGGTAACGTTTGAGTCCGTCTCTTCCTCTCTGTTTCTATAACAACAAACAGAAATACATGGAGAAAAATTAAGTGATGTCATGGTGGTGCGAGCTATTTAGAACCATAAAATACATTTAGAGCATGTCTGTGGAACATAGTTCATAATTAAGGCTGAAACACAACACAAAAGTTAAGTTTAATCCATGTAACTATACAAAGTGCACTGTTTCGCACGGGGGACTATTACTGTCACAAAACACACTTATGCTGTGGACAACAGAAGACGACGTGGACTGCAAATGGAGTAATGGAGAAAACAGAGGAGGAAAAAATTACAGGTCAGGGAATAAGACAGTGTCCAAAGTATGGGATTATTTCAAACAACTCTGTACAGTGTGTCTGTTGTAAAACAGAGCCTACGATTAGAGAAAAAACAAACAAACATCAAATTTAGATTTTTCTGCCAGATATTGCGATTTGTTTAGTTAACATTCAATATTCACTGCCAGTCTATTTTTGACGGAAGCCGCATCAAGCAGCACAGAGCAGATGAAACGGGCACACGAAGTCCGATACACAAACGACAAAGAATCCAGTCGATTTTCAAAATAATACACTGTCCAGACTCTCAATCGTGTATCAACAATAAACACAGTCAAAACCAACAATTTAACTACATAGCCTACTTAAACATGGTAGGAGGCTCAAATCACGGCAACCGCACAAATCAACAAAATCTGAACAGGTCACCAAAATCAGGCGAGCAAAATGGTCTTACTTTGAATGCTCCATGTGGGAAATGTAGCCCGCGGAGAGTGGCACAAAACATGCTAACAGAGAGCTGTTATCCGTACTTGACGCAGAAGAAATGACTAACAACATTTCAGCATGTTTGACTAATGCATTGCCACCTGTGACAACCAACCGCAGGGGTGTGTCTACAGAGGGGCCCGGGGTGGGACAGACCAGAATCTTTAAGCAACTTTAATACAATGAGGTCAAAGTGCTTCACAGGAGGGAGGCTGTAAATACAATCACAAAACTGCAAAAATAAAATGAAATAAAGTAAAATCAATAATTAACAGGCAATAGATATTAAAACCAAGATTGTGTGCCCGACGATTGTATGCACGTTCGGTTCCTCACGGGTCTATTTCAAGTAGCCTACTATTTAAAATGTATATAATGTTTTTTGTTTGGTTCGTCAGCGGTGATAAATGATCCGAACGTCCCGCAAGCTGTGGACAACTCAGCAAAACACTGGTGAATCTGTAGCTCCGTCTCAACAGCATACTGGCGCCCCATAGTTAAGTTACAATTTTGGATTATTCACGCACTTTAAAAACATCAAAAGCTTTTTTCTTTTTTACATGTTTATTTATAGCATCAAAATCACAACCATATCACCAAACTGGCATGATCCTTTGTTTCACTGCGAAGCTTTAACTGTGAAGCTTTAACTGTGAGATTGACAGTCGAATCAGGCTTTGCCCATCGAAACATCGAATCTTCGACTATTCGGGGTCAGCACTAGACATAAAGTAAATGAACACAAACACAGAGGTGTCTGTGGCTTGTGGTTAAAGCGGTCCTCCACTAACCAGAAGGTCGGTGGTTTGATACCCGGCTTCCCCAGGCTGCATGTTGAAGTCTCCTTGGGCAAGACACTGAATCTGGTGTGCACTTGGCTTAGCAGTAGGGATGGGCATCGTTCATTTTTATTGATACCCTTATTGAGACTGCTTAACGATCCAATTCTTTATCGATACCACTATCGATTGTTTAGTGATGGTTATTTGGTAAGACACGACCCAACGGGCATGGGGCAGGCCTGCAGGGTATGAGGAAAATATTTAATGTGCGATAACGTTATATATTGAGATGACATATCACTTGCGATAAATAAATAAATATATAAAAGTACATATTAACAGCCTGGTTGTTTTTAATTTAATATTTTAAATACAGCTAAATGTTGTTTCTAGACAACAGCAAAGTAACTCAATAACTTTCTGAAATCACAAGTACTGAGTGACGTTTAGAAAGAATAAGATTAGTCTTTATCAGTCCTTCCTCGTCTCTCCCTGGCTGCAGGTAACGTTACCAGGTAGAAGGAGGAGCGGCTGGTTTGTCTCAGCCAGCAGAGTACAGACCGGTTTATGCTCCAGACAGACAGCTTTCTATTTAGCTTGTGTTTAACATTTGGCTGATGCTAAGCTAGCGTTAGCTGTGTTTGTATAAAACATACAGGATGAGATACTGAGCACAGAGATGATTAAATTAACCATTTGTACATGTTTAACGTCACCTTACAGAGAGGTGTGTTGATAAAGTATTAACTTTTTACTTGCGAAGGTTTTATTGCTCGTACTTACAGTAACGAACGTAGCTGTGTGTGTGTAGGAGCCGACTGGGAGACTGCAGCCTGATGATTTTCTTATCCATTGAGTTTCAAATTAAATCAGATTTGACGCTCGATAGCAGTATCGACAAGCTTTTTTTTCCTATTAAAAATGGGTGGAAAACGTATTTGATTACAGAGCTGTGAGCAGCGCATATGTTTGCTCAGCACCTCCTCTTGCTCGGTCGCAAACACATTGACAATGGACCTGTGTGAGAATCCAACGCTTAGAATCATGAACACCGCTGCACAACAAATGTCGAAGACCCACCTTCAAAAAAGGTATTACCAGTAATAATCTGTATTTTCTTCTGTGGTTAAAATTTCTTTTTAAAATTATACAACTTGATTAATAAAGTGCAGAAAATGAACAGTGGTTCTGAGCAAACATAGGCGCTTCTCACAGCTCTGTCCGCTGGCTTTGCTCCGTGTGTTTGTCTTCGTTCTATTGGCCACCTCCACACTATGTTCAGTGTTGATAGGCTTTTACCCGTTCCCACCTTACCCTCTCTAATAGAGGAGGGATGGGAAAAGGTGGGGGAACGCATGCAGCTCTTATGGCCATGGAGCATGTGCAAAGCCATCTGTTCCCAGGGGCATGCTGTACTGTAACAATTCTAATGAGCTTTGTGTGTCTTTTTCAAGATGGCCAACTGCAATTTTGAATTGTAGATGAGACAAGTTTCCATTAATTATAAATTAACTGTTACATTAATTGGGTAACAAAAACTTACATTCAATAAATTAGGCATTAGATTAATCGCCTAATGAAGAAATAATTGAATCAATTCAATTTTATTTATATAGCGCCAAATCACAACAACAGTTATCTCACAGCGCTTTTCATAAAAGAGCAGGTCTAGACCGTGACTCTATGATGGTATTTACAGAAGCCCAACAGCCCAATCAGACCCCAAACTGCTTGAAGAGATACTGTGGAAACCACTGGCAGCAGCACGACAACAATGGCTGTTAAGAATATTGGTAACAAAAACACAACATCCTCCACCGCCCGGAGAAGAAATACCTGTGACTAGAGGTCGACCGATGAATCGATTGGCTGATTATTAATGCATTGGACTGAAGACAACTGCTGCTCTGTAGAACATATGTTGTCTCTGTTTTGCTGGCAAGCATGTTAGAATTTGGCTAGCCGTAAGTTAAGCGCAAGCCTCGCACCACTGTGGGCCAATGGCCGTATGGGATCCTTTAAGAGCCACTTTTACTGAACATATAGCGTGATACTCCTGATAATAATCTATCATCACTGTTAAGTAGTTGTGACTGTTTTTGACAGACAGTTTGCCTTTGAATACCGCTGTCCAATCAGCGTCATGTGGTGTTGCGTGCAGTCCCGCCCCTTTAAGAGCGATTTCAGTCTGGTTGAAAATCGTGGTGTTGTGTCGGGAGATGCAGTGACTTAACCAGCGGTGAGTAAGACACAGTATAAATAATACATGAATTTCTTAAGCTATGAGGAGAGGAAAAGTCTGCTAACCACTAGGCAAAATTATGCTGTGTATCCATAAATCCACAGGCTAAGCTAATAACTGTGATCATAAAAAAAAATCTTGACAACCGAATTTTTTGGCTTATGTTAAATGTGATTGTTACTAAGACGTGTTTTAATACACTTTTAAAACAGCCCACACACCTAATATTACTGTGAAACAACAGTATAACAAGTGGAAACTCTCTGCCTTCCTTTTTAGTCTAGTGTAATGTGTTAAAGGAATGAATGAAATTATTGCTTAAGTAGTTGCCTTTACATCAACAAGGTCTTTGAGGGTGAACTGAAAAATGGCGACCCATGTGTTGATCTTCACTGTGGGCTGTTCATTTATTATATAGACACTGACAACGGTCACCTTGGCCATCATCGCAACGACTGCCCACCCTGCCTGCCCCATGCTGACACATGAAGGTGGAGAAAAACATACACCGAGCACACAATCTTCTGTTCTGGCCTGGGAAAACAGATTGAGGCAGCAGTGGAGAAAAAAAGCGAGACGCAGCGCGAACCCCAAGGAGCACCTGCTATCATACGCCATAGCTGAAAGATGGCAGGTAGCAGGTATAGACCTGTTCACAGGGAACACACAACACTACATTGTCATAGTAGAGCTGTACTGCATCAGCACCAAACTCGAGCCCGTCACAGCACTGCAGAATCTGTTATCAGCAACCAGGGTCCATGTTACAGCTCAGAGGAACTCCAGCACATCACAGAGGTAACACACCACTACAAGCCCCCCATGTCTTCAAAGCAACCGCCTTGATGAAAAGACAGTGTGGAAAGTAAAACACCTCCTAGACAAAGAAAAGCTGAAAACAAAAACCATGAACGTGACTTATTATAAAACCAGAACACATCGTGAACAACCTGAAGCAGAACACGGACGATCGGTCGCTCAGCAACGTGAGTTAACTGCAGAACCGGAAGTTAACTTCAGCTTTGTGTCCAGTTTTAGCTGGCTAGCATGCTAAGCAGGCTACATGCTACAAGAGACCTCCTCCTCCTCCTCCTCTCCCGGTTCCGACCGTCACATTAAGTGTGGGTTCTGTAGAGATACGGGGTTCTGATGGCTCCACTGTTGAATCCTGCTACATTACATCTTGTTTACAGTCAATATGAAGCTACGTGTCGGAACCAGGCCGAGCTAACGCCACGTTAGCTTCTTGTTAGCTGCTAGCTGTGTTCATGAACACTGACCTGAACATCGGTGCTATCAGAGCTCGAGCCTGCTGTTTGTCCTCCGGGGACGTTGTTGCTCCGGGGCTCCGGGTCCTGGTTGTCCTCCTCCATCCCGCTCTTGGTCCTGGTCTCTGAGATCCAGCAGGTCTCCTTTGTGACTGTCGGAGCTCTTCAGATTCAGGAGCGCTGCGGGACCTCGTGGAGCTTCGTGTTCTCGCGATCTCGCGGGATCATGGAAGCTCTTCTGTCCCTGACACAGATCTGGGATCAGTATTGGAGCAGCAGCATCAGCCGTCTGAAACGGACACTCGGTGATTTCTGCAGCTGGGAGGACGTCCCGTGTGGTGGATAAAAGTCCTTCGTCCTCACGTGTCTCCTCCCTCTCAGAGACGGAGGATCATAGACTGTGTATAAAATTAGCGGAGCTGGCCGGCGCCATCTTGGCCGCGCGTCACTCCCGGATAACCATAAATGGGCAAAGAGGCGGGTCGTAGGTGGAGCTGAGGTGACGTGTTGCTGAAACCACTCCCGCCTAGCTTGACGTGACCGAGTTAGCTCATGCTAAGGAGCTAATGCTACATGCTACATGCTACTCTGTACGGTGGAGGTTGGACCTGCGGCTGGTTCACCGGAAAATATTAAAATAACTCACATATTGGACATTATACTTCACAAGGTTGTAAATGCTTTTTAATATATAAATGTGGTAACGTTAACGTTATTTTGCAACACTAATGTTGGATTTTGTTGAGACCAAAGTTAACAGTTAACTTGACGATAACGTTAACTATGAATCAGTTATTAACGTTAATTACCTAAAGTTCAATTTCAAGCAAATCAATTTACATACCGTTGGTTACGAGTCGTTTATTTGGACGTCACCTCAGTATGTTATTGTAATAAACGTAATAATCTAGCGGAGTCCTATTTTGAGTAACGTTGCTGCTGTCTGCAGGGCTGTGTGGGATTATTGTCTGGAAAAGGACACTTGAGAGAGAGAAACGTACTTTTTATATTTGTCACTAGATTGTTGTTGAGTTTCTGGTGCTACTCAAAGCTATAATAATGTTGCTACTCAAAGCTACTGGACAGCTGATATAAAATTGTCTTAAAAGGACAACACAAAAACATTTAAAGAGTCTCCCTTGTTCCATTTTCTCCCACTTATGTGACATAGTAGTGCTGTCAACATTAAAACACTGAGGCATCTTTTAGAGGACCATCTCAAAAAATTATAATACTCAGGAAAAGTTCATTGTGAGCATCAGAACCAGAGTTAATTAGCTGATCAGAGAGCTCCTCTCCAGTTATTTCTGTATAATTTATAATACAGAAATGTATTTTTATTCTAAAATGTTTATACATTTTGAGATAGTGGAGTTTTTATTTCCATGATCTGTAAACCGTAATCATCAATATGAAGACAAAAAGGGTTTGAAATGCTTCACTTTGTGTAATGAATCTAGAATATATCAAAGATTCACTTTTTTAATAAAATTTCACTAGAAAATTAACTTCACCACACTATTCTATTTATTAAAGAATCATCTGTATTTACTTTATATTTTTTATCACCTGAACAATTTATTACACATTTTCCTCCCAGAGTCTCACTGTGATCACATGTCCCACCTGGTGCCAGAGAGCTGCAGAGACCTGGAAGCCTTGTTATTGTCGTGGACCTTTCATCACGTGTGGTGAGGCTGATCAACCTTTCATTTTTTACTTTCTACTAACATATATGCAAAATGTTAGCCTATAAATAACATCTTAATATTTTCATTTACAGCTGTCTTATTAAGTTTAGCTCAGACTATTTAAAATTAAAATATGAAACTGATGAATGAAGAATGATTTTATTATGTATATTTAGTTTGATACACTTTATAACAAAGTCTTCCTAATACAAAAGCAATAGTTTAATAAATTAAACTCTTGTCTTGCATTCATGAAAACATCAATATTAAAAGGTTACAAATGTAAAAGTAGTTTTGTATGACTTGAAATGTGTTGAGAGTTATTATAATGATAGAATCTGTTGATAAGAACCCAGTGTCATAATTTCACGTCAGTAGTGTTCAGGTGTTGTGAGTAAAAAGAAAAAGGAGGAGCTGAAGAGCTGGAAGCTGGAGCTGTTCTCTCCTGAAGAGCTGGACACAGCTAATCACATCTGGAGGGTTCTGCAATCAGCTCCTCTGGCACCTGTAAAGACAAAATGAACTCTACTACTAAGTGAACTCTGAGATCGCCACAGCATGATAACCTCTCTGGCATGTGACAGTCATTAGGGGTGGCAATGTGAAATACACTGTTAACGAATATGTGCAATATACAGTGTTCTGCTGGACACTGTGCAACAATAACTACTCAACTCAGATCTTATTGAACGTTTATTGTAAGGATCTTATTTTATATTTCTTATTGAACTGTACTACCTTTTTTGGCAAATTCTAACCCACCAAACAAACTCAGGCGGCTCTCACACACCTAATTTCTCGCCTTAACTAAACCATCGCCCTAGTTACAGCCCAGCTACCTGTCTGCAGGCATAACGCGCATTATATGCTGACAAAAAAGGTGGACGTAAATCTCTGCAGGTAGCCTACAACAGCTGTTCTGCCGAATTATGCATCCACCTCTTAAGATCTTTATCAGAAACGTCGCTGATCAAACGCAGTTATCGCCTCAGACCACTGATGAACTCCACGTAGAATAGTATAACGTTATCGTTTTTAGACAGTAACGTTGCACTCGGAGGTGCACGTCTCTCCTCGAGAGACAGCTAGCTCAAATAGTGGCATCGGTGCTCCTCGGTGTGACAATTTCAGGCAGAACTCCGCAGCCGCTCCCTCCTCGGCTCTCTGCCTTTAAACCCTTCGTGTCCATCGGGAGTGCAGCCACTTATAATAGTATCTGACTAGTATCTAACTAGTATCTAACTGAACAGTTACAGGACGTAGCTAAATCTCACATCGCCCGTTAGTAGAAGTTACTGTTAACATAACGGCAGCTAACTGAGAGCTGAGCCTTTACTCACAACTTCACACAGACCTCTTTTCTTAAAAGCTGTTATGAGGTTGTGTGGTGTGGGGACAGAGAGGACCCAAAAGCAGCACTCTGAGGGAAGGAGGTTTATTGAGGGATAAAGGGGTAGAGGGACTGGAGTGGAGGGAGAGGTGGATGTCGGGGAAACACAGGCACGGGGAACCAGAAAGGCTGGGGGCCAGGGAGCCGGGGAACACTGGGGCCGAGGAAGCGAGGAGCGGTGGGAGAACAGGGAGGACGGCGTGGGGGAAGTCTGAGGAGGAGAGGGCCGGTGGATGAGCCCAGCCGACTGAACGGAGGACGAGGGTGAGTGTACCTGGGAGGGAAACAGACAGAGAGACAGGGTTGGAGGTGGCGGCGACAAAGCACAGCCTGAACACAGAGGTGGCACCGGATACGGAGAACCGGGGTTGAAATACAGGCAGGCATGAGGTTGATTAGTGGCAGGTGTGGCAGGCTGACGAGGTGGCTGATGGGATGCAGGTAGTTGGCTGGGCTCAGGAGCAGAGAGAGAGAGAGCACACAGGGGAGAAAAGACAGGGAGGCAGGCAGGGAACAGAAAACCAAGGAAAAAAGCAGAATAACTGATAAAAAGGAGAAAAAACCAGGACACTCACCGTCAGCCGGGCTGCTACCACAACAAAAGCATTATTACCCTAATGTCTAACACTAAAGTTAATCTAACACATTTTGGCTTCTCTCTTCTTGCTGACTTGTCTTTGACTCATTAAAAGCTGCGGTTAGAACACACTAACAAACGTTGTAACGTTGCTTATACTAATGGAAAATTAGCGTAATGAGCTAACGTTAAGCTAACAAGCTATATGCCGACAGCGATACCTGTTAAATGTTAACACATGAATAAAGTACAGGAATTTCACTCACCAAGTAGAACACGGATTTCCTGGAGGTTCTCTCTCCAGTGAACTGCACAGCCTGCCATTATTCATCCGGTATCTGCATGTAGAAATGTCCAAAAGGCTCCAACAGGCTGAACCTCAGAGCTCCGTGTAGCTGAGTGAGGCTAACAGACGGCGGACCGAGTGCTAGCGGTGGCAGCGGCAGCGGCTAATGGCGCCTGTCAATCAAAGCGGCCACGCCCCTAATAATGAACAACTTTAAGGCTTAATATAATTTAAACAGGTGAGTTATAAAAAAATTCACCCCCCTCACAGTTGTCTCGAAGGGCAAAATTAGCGATTTGCACTAAAACCATTTTTTGAACCAGTCTGTAAACATGTTTTATTCTGCTGGAAAGTTGGGCATTTTAACATGGGGGTCAATGGAGATTGACTCCCTTCTGCAGCCTCAAGTGGCCACTCGATGACTTGCAGTTTCAGATACTTCCGCATTGGTATCGGAAGTGAGAGCCGGAGGTTGCCGCTTGGGAGGAAGCCAGGAGTCAAACAGCGTCCACTTGTCCCACCTGTTGTTCCTCTCTGGAGTCTGGACACGAGCTTCACCTGAAACTCCACCTGACAACATGTGATGACCCAGATCACTGAGACGTTTCTGCTGGACAGCTTCTGACTGTTACCTGCCAGGTGAGCGTGTTGATGAACACGTGACAGTGATCCACATCGTTAGAACAACACTGTGATGCACTTTGACCACAGAGACTCACTCAGTGTTTCACTGGATCACCTGAAGAGACCGGCTTAGGTGTGTTTGACTTCAGAAAGACTTTGGTTACAGCGCCCCCATGTGGCAGAGTGGGGCCATATTTTCTCCGTGTGGGATAACTGAGGAGAGAGCGAAGTCTGATCTGTCTGAGATTTATCACTCCAGTGTAAATCAGGAAATGTCAACAACAACAAGTCAAACAGAACAACAGTTTGTTCCTCCAGCTTTAAACCTGTGTTTTTATTTCATCTTCCCGTCAACCGTGCCACTTTTGTCCAGTCTGGTTTGAAGCGGCCGCGAGCTGCACTTTCTCATAGGCTCTGAAATTAACCTGTGTGGATTTGTGGTGAGGCTGATCACCTGATCACACGTCTTTTCAGTTAGAAGCGATAAGACAGAAAAGACAGACGCCTGCTGTGCTAAGTTAGGGTGAGGGAATTAGGGGACAGTGACTGATTTAATAGCCGCCGTTTTTCGCCTCCATTGAGTGAACCGCCCCAGCTGCCTTCCCCTCGACA